CACATCCCAAAAACACTTCGAAAAAGGAGCCTAAACCTCACAGAGTTTGTTCAGTAACAAGATAAAAAGGAAGGAAAGCCAACAGAGCATTGCATGTTCCACCTAGCAGGGGGGAATCATCACTGTTGGAAGGAAAGCTTCCCTGTGCTATTGGGGAACTTTTAGGTTGTGTGAGGTGTAGCAGGACAGAGTCAGAGATTCAGTCCCAGTTCTGCAGCTCCTTAAGAAGCCAAAACCTCTCCAACAAGGGTGCTCATCACCACTCTTCAGGATAGATTTTCCCCAACTGTTTGCTGCAACCTGCAAACATTCACAGATCATCCTGAGACCCCAGAGCTTGACATCATGAGAGGTTAGCACACCTCAGAGTGACCCTGTGCTCCGTAATTTAGAAGGATAAGAGCATCTCTCTATGCAGTGTTATCCCTAGGATGTCCAAATACTCCTCTGAGACAGGATACCCCCATTTTAATTTGTTGCCTATGGCTGAAAAACAGAACCATCTGTCAAACATATTCTCCTGAAAAGCATCATTTTATACTCCAGCATCACAGACCTCTGCCAGGAGAGGCAGGTAGCACAAACCTAGGGAAGGAGAGCAGACAGGGATGGAGCATCCTTAGCTGGTATAAGGCAGACTCCTGAACAAGATACCACAGTTCTAGCTGCATCTCCAGGCTGACATTGGTTGTCTCCATCTCCTCCCTACAGGTGCGAGAAGCTGGCCGAGGAATGCCAAAACAACCCATGCCGAAACTCCGGGCGCTGTGTGAGCACCCAGGGCTCGGTGCACTGCATCTGCCCATCGGATTACCAGGGGGACTACTGCACGCAGCCCATCATCACCCCGGCCATCGTGCCCACACAATGGGCAGTGGGCCCTGAGGAGATAGCAGAGATTGTGGCCGGTGTGCTGGGGGTGGCCATCCTGGCCGTGGCCTTCGTGCTCATCCGCAAGCGCTACCGCCACCGCGCCAAGGCACACAAGCCCGTGGCAAGGGAGGACCCCGACCTGCTCTCCAAGAGTGAGTTCTCCAAGAGTGTAGGTGTGGGCACCCAAGCCGTGCCACCCATCGAGCTCAACATCCTCAGTGATGCAGCACACAACAACCTGGACCGGGGCACAGCGGAGCAGCGCAAACCCACCAGCACCCCCGAATTTGTCACCTTCAACTCAGCCAATGCCCCGAAGCACCGGGGTACCATCGTGTGCAGTGTGGCACCCAACCTGCCCCCTGCTGCACCCCCCTCCAACTCCGACAACGAGTCCTTCATCAAGTGCACTTGGGCCAGGGAGGAGATGGGTCAGTAGCACTGATTTCTGTTGCTCTTACACATCCCTCTTCCCCTTGTGAAGCAGATCTAAGGTTTGCAAGGATGAGGGACCAGCAGCAGTGGTTAAAGCCAGGCAAAAACACAGGCAAATGGTGCCCAAGCCCTGCTGTAGGATCCTCTATTGGCTCCTCCCTCCTGGCTCACCAGTACATCCCAGTTTTCAGCTTTAATCTCCTATGCAATAAGCAGGGAAAACATTAATGCATAGCCTGGTTTCCCACACATCCTGGGTCAAAAGACCCCATGAACGAGAATTATTAAGTTAAGAAGAAAAAAATTAAGATCCTAAAAGTCAGTGTGAGTTTTTGTGGAGGCATTTTCATCAGTTTCTAGGCAGAGGGATCACACCCTCAAGGAAACACCTTGTGTGGCTCTAGACAGCAAGGTTACTGCTTTCTCACAAGAATTCATCACCAGTGTACACTGTTAGAAGAGGGGGCACAAGAGTAACTACAGGGAGAGATCCAATGGATCACTTCCTCTGCCCCATCCCTTCATCATGCAAGCTTCTTGCATGCGAATAGCATGATAAGTGTGTCTTTTGGGTGTTAGAGTAGTGAGTGGCTGAAGGTGGGAACACTGCTTCAGCACAGCAGCCCCCTTGATTCCCAAAGCAGCAATAACAGCTCCCCTGTCCCCACATCTCTCTTCCCTGGTTGCCACATCTGCATGCTCAGTCTACAGAAGTAGTGGGAGGGCAGGAGAGGGAAAACAACGGCTTGAACTGCAACTAACACAACTCTCTTTTATTCCAGTCTACCCAGCAGAAACAACGTACTGGCCCCCCCAGTACCTGTCATCAGACGTGCAGGAGTACTCCCACTACGAGATCATTCAAGCCCCCCCAGCATCCTCTTCCCACCCTCCTCTTCCCCCACCTCCTCCTCCACCAGCAGACACGGAACCGGTCGCTCTTTATGGAGGCTTCCCCTTCCCGCTGGACCAGAGCAACAAGCGGGCTCCCATCCCGCCCCGCTACAGCAACCAGAACCTGGAGGACTTCCTGCCGCTCGGCCCCGTGGACATGGGAGCCTCCCAGTGCCAGAACGAATACACGGCCATCAGCTATTACCCAGCACAACTGGTGCAGGGCGAGGGTGTCCCATACCAGCCCGACCCCGGGTACAAGCGGGTGAGCATGCGCCTGAGCGTGGCTCAGCCCTCATATGCAGACTGCGAGGTGGGCCACCAGCCCAGCATCCGAGCACAGCCCCTTCCACCCCCCAACTACGAGGGCTCTGACATGGTGGAGAGCGACTACGGGAGCTGTGAGGAGGTGATGTTTTAACAGGGGGCTCATGCTCGGGATGAGAAGCGCATCTCCGTGCAGAACAGTGGGCAGGGGGCTGGTCCATGCTGCTCAAGGGAGTTTAATGTGTGTGTCCCCCCCCAGCTCTGCAGCATCTCCCCGTGCATGGCTGGGGCGTAATTTGGCTGGATCTTTCCCCACACTGTGCTCCTGCTGCAAATGGAGGGGAAATGCTCCAGCCACTGCCCGGACACAGAGGATGCTCCTGGGATGCCAGCGACTAACCTGCCTCCTTGCCAAGGGGACTTCCTCGGATACCATGCAGGACCACCCTCCTCCCACCCCAGGCTCCCTGGCCGCAGGGATGATGAGGAGGAGGAGGGCAAGCACTGCAGGTATAGCAGCAGTCATGGTGGAGAAGGTGCAAAAGGACTAGTGATGCACCGCCTGGGAATGCCCCACACAGGATAGCACAGCTACCCTGCTCTGGCTCCGAGGGCTTGCATCAAGCCAACAGTTTGCCCAGTGGAACGGATCAGCTGGTGCAAACCCTCTTCCATGTCTGCTCCCTGATGCAGGGAGAGAGGTGAGGGAATGCAGCTGGTCCCGTCAGCATATCCCTCACTTGGCCAATAGATGTCCAAGAAAAAAAGAAAAAGATAAAAAAAAAAAGCCCATTTCTGTATTAAAAACAAGCAAGAAGCTTCATCACACCAGGGACCACCCACAGACTCAGCCCAGTGCAGCAGCAAAGCACAACCCTGCGCAGGCAGGCTGTGCTCATGGGTATAAGGGAGACCCTGCCTTGAGGATGCAAGCACAGACACGTCCCATGGCTGTCATGGTCCCGTGCTGAACACAGCAGAACATGGTCCTGCTGCCCAGCTGGGGCTCCCTGGTGTATCCCAGAAGGACTGACCAGCACCACATGGCTGAGACAGGGCACCGAGGCTGCTGAGCGTGGGTTTGCCCGCGTGTCCTTGTGCTTGGAAATGCATCATTGCTTCGTGAGAGGTTTCCTTTGGTCGGTTGTTTGATGTAACTTTTTTGGTCGTTGATTTTTGGAAAGTATTAAAAGAGTTTGGATTTTTTTACTACTGATCTCATTCGATAACTTGGGGATTTCCTTGTAAATAGGACACCCCTGCCCAGCTCCAGCCAAGGGCTGTCCGGGGAATAACAGCTGCTTTTGGACACCAGCAGCCCCTTCAAAGTACCAAGACAGCAGGACAGGGCTCGCTGTCAACTGGAGACCATTATCCATCTGTTTCCAAGATTAGTGCCAAGCAACCCCATCAGTGACTGGTGAGGGGGGACTGTCCCAGCCCTGGGGACCCCTCAGGGCCAGCCCCATGCCAGGGCAGAAGGGCAGGCAGCTACTAGGTGTATCCTACAGGCAGTACTATTAGGAACACCTCAGAGCACTAACACACACAGAGCAGGAGGGGAGATTGCACAATTATCATGCTCATGAGGACCACAGCATCATCTGGGAGCCCCAAACCACTATTTGGGTGCACACAGAGGTCTGCACACAGACCTCTTCCCAGCCAAAAGGGAAACCATGCTCTTGCCCCATGGCAGCCAAGCACTTACAGCCAACAGGGTGAGACAGCCTCCATAGTAAATTCATTCAGCCCCAGTTCTCCTGTCCTTCATTAGTTGCTCCTAGGAGCAAAAACGTGCAAAACCTCTTTGCTCATTCTTTTCAGACCAGAATAAATCAGAAACCATTCCTCCTTGCATTCGTGCTGAAGCAGCACTAGGACTCACCCCGCTCCCCTAAAAACCCCAAGGATACCACAACATCCTACCTGCTGGCTTGAAGGGGGCTCATCACGCAGAGAGGGCGAGAAGAGAATGGCAGAACAGCCCCTCTCCTGCCCGAAATACTGCTGCAGAACAAGCATCACCTGCAGTGGCCAAACCTCCCACCCCCAGCTCTGTAACCCCACCACAGCTGGGGTTAATCCCACATTAGAGCCAGGGCAAGGAGCAATTGGCTGCACTTGTGCAGGTCCCCAGCTCAGCTTCGCTCTGCAGGATGGGCTTGTGAGCTTGTGGCTATATTTTCATGCAACTTCTTGACTTGGAAGTGCCCCTCCCAGGCCCACATTCCCCATTACCCTGCATGCTTTAAGGAGACTTTTCTGCTACAGCTTCAAGACATTGCCCTTTTTAGCACTGATTTCCCAAACAGCCCCACTAAGGACACACCACAGTGGCATGACTTATTCAGCAGCATGAGGATAAACCACACTTATCTAGAATCACAGAACCATTAGAGTTGTAAAGGACCTTAAGATCTTCCAGCCCCTGACGCTGGATGCTATCATGGCATGCTCCACTCCTGGCCCTGGCTCTGCCAAGTAGTTTTGCACCTGGAAGAGAAGCACCCATCTCACACCCCAGCACGTTTCCACATAAAAAATAAATCATATTTATTGATTAAAGTAAGATACATGATTCAGGTGCAGCACCAGCTCTTCCACTGGGCAGCTACACACACTGTACGCTGACAATATCCATAGGCACGAGACATGTACATTGATCATTTCTATATCTACAAGTTCCGTGGTTACAGAGCAGCCTACGATATGCAAGTGTCAAGTTTTCATGTCCACTGAGTCCTCCTGGCTCAGCAGAGCCCTTCACACCATGTGCCCCACCAGCACATCTGGCCCCATCTCCAAACAGCCCCTGAACACCCTCATAAGTGAAGGATTGCAAAACCCATTTAATGCTGCAGTGATATCCCAGTGTCCTTGGCAATGAGGCCTTCACCGCTGAGTGCAAAGTGAGGTTGGATGCCAGCAAACCCACTGATGCCCAGTGGCAGGCTGAGAACATGCCCTTGGGCCACAGCCATCCCCCAAGATGTGTCCAGCCTTCTTGTAGGGTCCCAACAGAGCAGGGGGCAAGCATCAAATGTCCCCTGCTTTGCCAAGGGTGCCATTTCTGCACCCAAACCCAACCCCAAGGGCCACACCGGGGTCAGGATGCAGTGATGGATGTGAATATTGCACTTCTGTCCGTGGCGTGCCTGGAGCCCCCTCCCAGACCTGAGTGTTTGCTCCAGAGGAAGGGTTTGACTTAAAGCTTTGCTCTGCTCATAACCAAGCGATGCCAGAGCATGCTGAAACCTTCACCAATGCAGACTTTGAGGGGACAAAGTGAGCCCTGAGAGATGCAGTTGAGCAGGTGAGGGGCTGAAAAAGGAGCAGCAGCATGGCACAGACCTACCCTGGCACAGGGCACCCAAAGCAGGACCAGCAAAGGGGAAAGTGCAAGACATTGAAACACCACACATCGTGGAGGCAGGCTGCAGGGATGCTGCTCAGCACAGCCTTCTCCTCCCAGAACTGGGCCAGACACCAAAAATAACCCTGAGCCTCACTCATCCTCCACCAAAGATGGGAACGCAGCCTGGCAGTACTATATTCACACCCCCAGGAAGACATCACTGTGGCAGGATGAAGGGATAAAGGCTTTCCAAAGGAAGCCACCACGCTGCCGGTGTTTGAAGATGCTGCGTTGGAAGGGAGGAGTTTGGCCAAGACACAGGGTTACAGAGGGGTGGCTCAGCCAAGACCTTTTTGCACTCCTAGAAGACATCCCATGGAGGATGCATTTGCTCTCTTGTCTTAGAAACAAAGAAATCCAGCAGAAAGGCAATGAAACTCCCTAGGGAGGAAGCTGGGCCCACCGAGGAAGGAAAGCAGCAGCATAATGGGGACCACCCCCCAAGCATGCACCAGCCACAATGCAAGAAGCAACAGGAGCACAGGGAGAAGCACTGGAGAGCTGCATCCTACTGGAAGACAGGAGCTGGGGCAGAGGCAGAGGATGTAAAGGGAGTAACAGTAAAACTAATAAGGGTTTTGAGTGTGATTTGACATTCAGTATCAGCCTGCAGCCACAGCTGATGTGTGCACTGTGAACAAGGCGATGTGTTTTAGTGGTGTGTAGGCAGTAAGTGGTGACCCCTGAGGACACCCCATCCCACACAGGGAAAGGACTACCAGCTGAAGGCAACCAGCTTGGACCTTCCTTGTGGCAAAGCCCATTTGCTCCCCACATGCCTTGGCTCTCTAATGCTTCCAAAAGCCTTGCGCTTGTGCGTTACGTGAGGAAAAAGAAGTGTTTCTACTGAAAGCATGGGACAGATTCAGCAAACCCTCCCATGCCACAGATGTGCCCAGTGCCCAGCTCCAGGCCCTGAGGCAGCTGGAAACAGAGCAGGAGCCAATGCCCACGTCTGGGGATCCCAGCACAGGAGAGCTGGGGTTCCCGGGATGCTCCACGCCTCGGGCTCTGCCCACACTCCCAAGGTGAGGAGGCAGCTCCACGCTCTCCAACCTGAGCTGAGGTTTCTCTGTTCTGTAAAAATAAAGTGCTCAGGGAAAGAAACAAAACAACAATAAACAAACTGGCACAAAACAGAGCAGTCCCCGCTCCCACCCTGCCTGAAGGGATGGGGGATATACAGAAAGGGTGGGATTTCAGAATAAAATATATAATCAAAAATCCACATCCCCGGGATCGCTCCCCTCCGAAAGCGACTATTTACAGGGGATGAGGGGGCTGTTTTGCTCTATCACCTGCCCCAGGGAAGGCACTGCTGCAGCCCAGATCCCAACTCCACCGCCAGAGCCCAGCACGGGACCCTCCTGCTGCGGGGGTGCAGTCCTGTCCTCTCACAGACCAACCCCACCGCGAGGAGAGGAGAGGAGAGACCGTTGCCAGGAGACCAGCATCTCCCGGAGCCCCTGCACCCCCAGAGTGGTACCCGGGCAGGCAGGGGACCGTCACTGCACCATGGCACTGGTGGCGTTCACCACGGCGGCCGCGGGCGCTGCCAGCTCCACCAGCGCCTCATATGTCCCCACCACGAAGCCCACGAAGCCGAAGAGGCTGATGAGGATGTCCTTGACGATGACAACGGGGTGCATGCCTTCGGAGTAGTAGGTGGCAATCTCCAGCAGCGGGGGGAAGATGAGAGCCAGGGCACTGCTGCTGACGGAGCCCACCAGGGAGATGACGATGTCCAGGCGTGGGATGAGGATGGCCAGGACGCCTGTAGAAGGAGCAGACATTCCGTTAGCATTGATGACTCCAAGATGGCCAAGACCCTCCTTCTCTGATTGAAAGTAAGCAAAATCCCCACTGCAGGGATCTGCTTGAATCCTCCCTCTGCCCTTCTCCCTGACACAAGAGCTTTGAAGATGGGGTTGCATATATTTTCTCCTCCTCAACAAGCAGTTAAGCCATTGCATTGAGTTAATGAAGCACAGCATGCAGACCAAACCCTTCCTGTCACCCTGGGCACCAGTGAGCTCCAGGGCTGAGCAGGATGGGTGCCCCAGCAAACATACTGCTGGCAGAAGAGCAGCCACAGCATCCCCAGCCCCCTGTTAAAGCCAGGACTCCTGCCCCCCACACCTGGGGAGCTGTAAAGCCTCAAAAACCCCATAAAAGCAGGAGAAGGGAAGAAAAAGCCCTCTCCCCCCACCCTGAATACATCGGTGTGGTTTGCATGTGTTTAGAGCTGCTCCAGCAGCAGAGCGCCCACGGCACAGCCCCGGGGAGAACATTTGTTAGGTAAAATCTGCAGCCAAGGAAAATCCCCCGGGAGACTTCTGAGAGCTCAGCACGCAGCGGGGCAAACTCTGCTCCTTCTGCTCCGGCTCGGGGCCAGGGGAGGACAGAGGGATGGTGCTCTCTCCTTCCAACCAGCCCACAATGCCCCTTAGCAAGCTCCTCATCCGAGGCATCCTCAGCACTTGAGAGCATCACCGTTGCTTTTGAGTCAAACAAAGCCTGAGGAAAAGACAACCAGAACTTTGCAGAGCATCCTCTGCAAGCAAAGCAGACTTCAGTATTTTATCAAATATCGGTTTACTGCTTTGAAAGCTCTGCTTGGAAACAGGAGACACCTAGAAACATGGCAGCTACTGCCTCGGTGGAGAAGGGACACCTCAGGGTTCCTTACCGGAGGGGTTTGGTTTCACCCTGGCAATCAGCTGTTGGAGCCTCCCTGAGCCAAAGATCACCCACAGCACCACAGGAGATGGAAAGCTTGGGAGGCTGACAGCAGACATAGACACAAACAGGAGATGCTCCCACACACCACCACATTCCAGCCCTGCTGTCATGTGGATAAGCCTAGAGACAAACCTCCCCTCCACCTTGGGGGACAGCAGCAAAGGCCCCCACTAAGCTGACCTAGAGGAAGTTTATTGCAGTGTTCTGCCCTGCACAGGGCCAAAGGAGGGCTCTGCCAGGTCTCTGCTGCAAGCAGCACCCCTGCTCCAGCAGCCTGCAGGGAGAGCAGAGCAGCAGACACCAGCAGCATCCTCAGCCCACCCCACACGGCTCTTTGGACTGGAAGCAAACAAAACTATTAACCCCCCTCTAAATGAGGCATTGCTGAAGCACCAGCTGCAGCCCGCAGCCTCCAGGGCAACGGTCGTGCTTTCCACAGGTATTAATTCAAAGGGGTTTTAAGAGTGCTGGTTTTGAAGTCTAAGCTTAAAAGACACCAAATTGCATCCTCTCTTTGGAAGCCAAAGCCACAAGGCAGGCTTGTTCTGCGGCCACACATTCAGCTGATGAATACTCATGCAACCCCCCTAATTGCTTTTATCCTCAGCAACAGCCACAGCCATCTCTTACAGGGAAGGGTAAGGAGAGGAGGTACTAAGGAACCTGCATCCCTCCATCAACACCGAGACAGGAGGGTACAGCCACTGCCGGTGCCTGAAGCCATTCCACTGCTCCAAGCCTTCACTTCCCCGGCCACATAAAACTCCATCACCTCCCAAGAGGGGCTCCAAGCCCCATGACAGCACTGGGGTGGTCAGAGCACATGGCCCAGCACAGCAGGATTTCATCCCTGCACTGTGCCTCCAGCTGCAGGCACTGGGACAGAAGATGCTTCAGGAACTCAGCACAGAGGGGATGGAGCTTTACCCACCTCTGTCAACACAGAACTTCTGGCCCATCATTAGTGAATGCCCAGAAACCAGCCGCACGCTCCAGTGCTCTTTAGTTAGCATCACACTCCTCTCAAACCCAAACCAAAGCCAGCTAAGATGCAGGGGAAGTCCCTGATGCTCAACTCTGGTGCACCAGCAGCATCAAGCCATTGAGAAAAGCTCTTTTTCAGCAGATGACGCCAGGGAGCTCAGTCAAGCATCTCAGCTGTGCTGACAACAGCAAGGATTTAGCCTTCAGGAATCAAAGCCAGCTAAAATCAAATACTTCTGCACCTGATTTGCTCCATGCCTTTTCCAAAGGTCCACCAGGCTCAAGCCCAGCAGCTTGCTCCACCAGAGCCACACCGCAGGCACCAAATGATGTGGAAAGCTTATTCCTCCACTGAGAAGACTGGTCCCATATAGAGCAGGCAGAGGACCACTGCTGCAACTACTTGGAGGCTACTTTGGCCCACTGGCTTGCATCAGCAAGGTCCAGGAGACTCCCTGCAGTGAGGGCTTTAGCAGCAGGGCCAGAAGCAGCAAGGCAAGGGGTGAAAGCTCTTGGCACCACCAACCCACAGCAGGAAGGAGGTCCCACATCCTCCTAAGGGAACTCAGACAAGCTGCTTTGTACTCACAGGTCACGCCAACCAGGGCTACCCTGAGGAGCAGGTTGACCAGCCAGCCCCAGCGCTCCGACACCCGGGCGACGAGGGGAGGAATGATGATCTCGGCAGGCACATAGAACTGCACAGCATAGGTGATGAAAATCCCAAAGGAGAAGAGCAGCTTGACAGCTTGGTACAGCCTGCAAACGAGAAGGAGGAGACCCAGTGAGACACACTCTGCTCCAGCCCCCGTGGCATCAACAGCAGAAAGCAGAAGGCGAATGCTCATCCAACAAGGACTTTTGTGTGACAATGGTTTACCCCTCCTGAAGAGTCTCCTGGAAAATCAAGGGTGATTCATTCAAGTCCATAGACCCCTTTTTGGGCAAGAGATTTCAAGGAGACAGCACAACCTCCAAGCCACAGCAACACACACTCCTATACCTAATCAGAGGCTTTTAGTCTTGGTGTAAGGAATCATCAGGCCACGAGCTGGGCCTGCAGCCTCTCAAGGGCTGCTTCCCCTTGGGAAAACTCATGGACACAGATATTGGGAGTTCTTTGAAAAATAAAACAAATAAACAACCAACCAACCCCAAGAAACCACTGTCCTGCTCCTGACTCTTTCCAAGGCACAGGGAAAGATGAGGTGTCCTTGGCCAAGGGACCAGGAGCCGAACTTGATCCTCAACAAGTTAAGGCACCAACCTACATTTCTAGATGCTCATGTTGCCACACTGCCCTTGGCTGCACAAAGTAAGACCTCCAGGTACCTTGCTCCCTGGGTAGCTGTGCACCATCCTCTCCACTCGAGCAGGCTGCACTCTGCAAGGTCTGCAGTGGCACAGGGTGGCCTTCTTCATGATTGCTCCCCACAGACAACACCTAAATACCCACTGGCACTGGTACTGGCAAGAGCCTGCAGTCCTGATTTTTGGCCAGTGACCCAGAATGAAGTTGCAGCTATGCCCAGAGGTTCCTCACCTTGACTTCCATCCAGCCTCTGTGCTGAAAGAAGAAAAAAGCTTCCTTTTCTCCTATTTGTAACCAGCTGGATTCTGGTTATAACCGGAATTCTGTTATAACAGGAGATGAAGAATATCTTCAAAGAGGCTTAGCTGTAGCCATGAATATTTCACAGATTTTGATTACTGCTTGGCTTCTGAGGAGGCGGAAGAGGACAGAACCACTGGGATAAGTCTGGGCTTACAGAGCAAATGGGATACAAACGTCACCACCACCACCTGCAACTGAACCTCCTCCATAAAACAGAAAGAGCAGCTATTTTGGGCATGCTGCATGATACATGTCTGGGGGGAAGAGAGCTGGAAGAGCAGTATGGGCTGAGCAGAAGGAAGGCAGAGTGCAGACAAGCTGCAAACAGCACCTCAGGCTCACCCTGAGTCTGATTTCACCATGTCCCACAGACTACAGCGATGCAGCAGTGGACAAGCGTAGCTGCAGGACAAAGCCAGTCGCAGGTGGCCAAAAAGCCACCTCCCAGCCCAGTCTCCTCCCTCAGCTCCTCAGCAGCTGAAAAAGCCTCTCCAAAAGAGGAGTGATATCCAGTTACCTCATATATGGTCCTACCCATTCCCCAGCGCAAGACATGCTGACCAAGCAGGAAACACGGGTCCTGCCCATACCACTTGGGTAAATAGGAAGTGGATCCAAGCTGAGGAACGTATCTGGCTCCCTTTAACTTCTTTGGGCCCAAGCCAGTGCCCCTCTGTATGCTGGTTCTCAGCATCCAGCTGCTGCAACAGAAGCCTCAAAACAGAGAAGTATTCACATGCAAGACAACTCTGAACATTAGCGGCAGAGCCTGGTGCAGTCAAACATTTCCCACAGTCACAGGGGATGGAGGTAAGGATCACCTAAGTGAATAGGACCAGATCAGATGTATTCAAGATTGTGCCCAGCATCAGCCTGAAGTCATTTTATCATCTACAAAAGAGCAGGGTAATCAGAGAGAGGTCCTGTTACCTGGGAAGAAGAATCATATCCGCCTTCAAGAGGAATGAGGGAAGCTACAGCCTAATCAGCCTCACCTTGATCTCCAGAAAAGTATGGGCTAAGTGCTTCTAACATCCATTTCCAGGCACATATTGTACAGGGTGAACAGCCACTGGGGATTTGCCAAGGGGGAATCATGGATCTATCTTCATCAGTGAACCTGGATGAGCTCTCAGCAACCCAGAGCATGCTGTCAGCAAGCACCCAACAAGGCTGAATTGGAGGGAACGACTGACACACCTTGGAGCAGGACCTAAACATGGGCAAAATTCAAAAGCAAACACAAAATCCCACGCATAGGAAAGGCAGGGGCCCAGCTTCCCATCTGGCCAGAACAGGACCTGGAGGTCCTGATGGGCAGCAAACTGATAATGAGCCAGCAGCAGGACCTCGCAGTGATTAAGGTCAATCACATACCAGGCTATGGTAGCAAAAGCATAGCCAGCAGGTTAAGGATTACTCTCATTAGGAGCTTGTGAAGCCACATCTTGAATATCATGTCCAGCCTTGAGATTCCTAACACAGCAAGTTGAATGGAGGCTACTAAGATAGCTGTGGCTGGAGCACATGATAGTCAAGGAGGCGATGCAAGACCTGGGCTCATTCAGCATGAAGAATATCATGGGGGATGTTACTGCTGTCTTCAGCTACCTGTAAGGAAGGCATGGAGAAGACAGAGACAGGCTCCTTTCAAAGTTGCACAGCAGAAGAACCAGCAGCAACAGGACAGAGCCACATCCCAAAAGGGTAGTTAAGTACCAGATCAAGGGCCTGATATTCAATATTTAACTTGGCCCTGCTTTGAGCAGGAGGGTGGACTCAATATCTCTGGTGGACAGTGCCCTCCCTAAGCTAAATTTGCCCTGTGGTTCCATAAGCAAATTAAAGACAAAGCTACCCTGAGAGTCCAGAGTGCGCCCAGATAGCCACATGTGACCATGCACAGTAGCCTTGAGCTACCTCTACCCCACACCTGCATATCTTGGTGGCCTTGAGCCACCTCTACCCCACACCTGCATATCTTCAAGCTGTATTTTCAGCAAAGTGATGCTGTAAAACCATAAAGTGTTCCAGGGCAATCTACAATTAAGAGGTGCTAGTAAAAAAGTTACAGAGGAAGGCTGGCTACTGAACCTACCCATCAGGAACCATGACAAGCTCAAAGGGCATTTTAAATACCAAGAGGAGAAAGAGCTCAAGCCCTAGCTTAAGCTCCATGCAAGGCCCTGGAGAGGCACTGCTCTGCCAACCACAGCAACTACTTGCCTAACCCAGATGGCCACACCAAGCCATTCCAACAAGCTGCAAGAAATGGCATACACTCCTTGGACCACAAGCTCTGTCATTACCTACCTTCAACTGGTTATATGCAACCAAACATCTTCCTCCTCACTAGAGCATTTCTTCACTCTTCAGCAGATGCGGTGAAGCAACGCTTCTGAGGATGCAAGGAGGGATTTCTGCATAGCAGTGCAGTGCTGTGGAGGCTGTGGTTAGGGCTGGGTACTGGGAACTGACATGCTCCTTATTTGAGGAAGCTGCGGTTATGGAGCAATGAGGCTGGAAAAGCCCTTCGTAACCCTGTCACCCAACGATTCCTGACACGCTCATCAAATCTGCTCTGGAGACCTCCAGGCAATGGCTACAACCAAGGAAGGATGCAGCATCTGTGCCATGGTCCTCATTTTGTTTCCAACACTGCAGCAAACCCAGGACTTCTCACCAACAGCCCTTACAAGCACCTTCTGCAGCCCAACACCATTACTGCTGGGAAAGAAACCCACAGGCAAAGCAGGATGGGCAAAACACTCATTTCAAGAGCAAAGTCTTCACCCATCACCTACAGGTGGGTTTTGTTTTGCTTTCCAGAAAAGTCCTTTGACAGAAAGCATGGATGCTCCTAGAAACACACATCTGAACTAGGAGCTTCCTGCAGCCCGGCAAGTCACAGAAATCCCATTACCCTCTTTCTAAGGGAACATCATCCTTTAGAGCAAACAAAGCTGAGATTTCTCACACAAGTCCCCACACAGCATTACAGGTCAGCAGATGTCGTTAGTCTGTGGCATGACCTGATGCCCTGCAGAGCCCAAGGCCTGGGTCTGACCTGCCTTCCACCTTCAGGAGAAGCAGCAGCACTTCCTCCCCTTCACACTTCCCTTCAGCTTGCTGAGAGGACGGGATTCACCCCTCCTGTGCTGCAATGGTGGGACCCAGATCTCCCTACAACACAGGCAAGTTTTCCCACCAGCCCCACACCTCCTCACTGACAGGAGGGACCTGGCAGAGCTCCAGCCTCTACAGGGGACAATGCAAGGCTCTTGGCAAGAGCAGGACCTTCAGCCACACCAACACACAGCACTTCAGCCACTACACAGACCCAGCATGAATGACAGCCTGTGCACTCAAATTGAAAGAAACCCTCCTAGCAATAATTAAAGCGAAACCAAGCTCTATTTCTTCAAATGCTTGCTTTCTCCAGAGCTCCAGCTGCACTGTTCTACAAGGTCAGCACATGGAAGCCCAGCAGTGACTCGCAATGACAGTCCTGCCCAAATCTATTTCAGCAATGGGGAAGAGGCAGCGAGTCACAGTGCAGATGCTAACAGCAGAAAGGATGAGCTGGGGAGGGGGGCAGGCATCCCCAGATCCAAGTCTCACTCTGCTTTCTTGCAGGATTTCAAGGCAGCAGAGACATCAAAGAGAAACTGTTGAACTCAGATGCTCCCAGGCAAACCCAGAGAAACCCTGTTGCTGCAGGATGGCTTTCCAAGAAACCTCCTGGCATCAAAGCCAACCCGCAGCCCCAGCTCCGCACCACGTGCAGGAGGTGCTGCCATGCAAGTGGAACCTCTGCAGAGCTTCTCTCCTTGCCTGTCAGCACCACATCCTGCCCCACAGACACCCCAAAGCAGTGTGTTGTAAGAAGCAACAGAGATGGGCTTTTCAGGATTTCCTCATATAACCCCAGGAGAAGCAAGCTGGAAAAGGCATTTATTCTCAATACTTGCATGCTCCACACTTCTTGTCCCAAAGGCAAGAAAACCTGCTTGCATTTCTCCTCTGGGATGAATATGGAGCTGTGACACTGAACAACCACTCAGCCCCAGGGACAGACCAGCACAAAGCCCAGCCTGTTGCTGCAAGAGCCACCAGCCCCAGCAAGAGAGGAGAGAACCCCTCCAGGTTATAGCAGGTACAGGGTCAGGCCATGTGTATTTCCAGCATCTCAAGAGGCCTCGCCAGACCCCAGAGGATCACAGACAGGTCTGGGGAGCTGCAGAGCTCGGCACCCATAGGAAGGAAGGGGCATCCTCACGGCACCAGTGCTCACAGGCAAAGTGTTGGCTCCAGATGAGCCGCATCCAGTCACAACGTGGCACCCAGGAGTGGGAGTTTGAGCCCCAGGGCTGCAAACACAGATCCCAGCCCACAGGTGGAGACGTCACATCTCGCCCCCTCTGGGAGCTCCCAGCTTTGGGGTAGTTTTCCAAGTTCTCCATTTGAAGAAGAGAAGTGGGGTTTGCACAAATCAACCACCTTTTACTATGGCTGCACAGGGGCTGTGTTCAACATCTCCCAGCCAGAACACTGCTTATCCCCCAAAAAGATGCCACAAGGCTCCAATAAAAAGGCAGGAGCTGCATCTACCCAGAAAGGGACCGCCAGGGAAGCAGCCTGAGCTGCAGGGCCAAGACCAAGCTCAGATGCCACAGCAATGAGCCTCTCCTCACCCTATACATCAGGACAACCCTTGTCAAGCTGCTTTGGACAGTTTGAATACAGCACGGTTGATCCTTTCCAAAGCTCATTCAGATCATTTCTCCTAAGGAACGATGTCCCCTGCTGCTCCCTCACCTCCCTTTCTCCTTACCCCTGGCCCCTGCACTCCCCATGAGGACTCACCAGCAGTTGGGCAGGTTGAGTGTTATGCTGGCCTGAATGTCCGCCCCGAAGCGCAGGTACCCCAGGACGCTCAGGCTGATGTACAGGATGGTGACAATGGTCATCCCCACATAGAGGATGACTGGGAACTGCCGCGGGTTCTTCATCTTGTTTTCCAGAGGCAGCACCTGGGAGAGGAGAAGGAGGAGGAGGATGACAACAGAGCAGCAGGCTGCCCCTGTTCCTCTATAGCCCTGGAAAGTAGGAGGGGCAGCCCCATAGCCAAGCACAGCTCCCCATGCCAGGGGATGGGATGGTCACACATGGAACCCAGCTGAAAAAGACCATGTACTGGAGATCTGATTTCTGTGCTCCCATTGGAGAGCTTCACACTTGGCATGGCAAATCTTCAGTGGGATCACTCATGACCTTGCCTTAAGGAAGGGACCTGCTCCTTCCCTTCCACAGGAGCTGTGCCCATTAGTACCTGGCAACACCATCCACCCCATACCTTGGCTGCATTCCACTCTGCACTCCAAAACAGCCCAGCCATACCCACAAGGCCAGGCCCATCATTACATTGTCTTACTTTACCGGTAAACCTGGAAAGACCAAGATACTTTCTCCTCTTCTATCAAGTTTGGATACATTTCAACCAAACAGGACAATAAAAAAGGAAGGACAGAAGCAAGTCCCTCACCTCTCTACTACTGACACTTGCTTTCAAATATAAGAGTTCAGCAAACATTTTTATAGCTGTCCTTGGGTGGCAGGACTTCAAGGACAGACACAGCAGCAGAGCTGGTGAGGGGGCAGGACCAGAAAAGCTTTTATTTGCTTCTCCTCCTCCAAATCACACGAGGAAGAGAGCATTTGTGCCTCACTGCCAGCAAGGGCCCTGTGCCCCAGGCACAGCATTCAGTAAACACTCCCCCTGTAATGGATTGGGCCCTCTCCAGCCCTGCATTTACAGTCAGCTTAGTTTGAGAGATGAAACCATTTTTCCCCCTTTGAAGGGAGCTCCTGGAAACAGCCCACAACAGCTCCAGGAGCCATTAAGCTCCCCACCCACCCAGCCAGCTTTTTTCCACAGACACAGCAGTCTATTTACAGCATCTTGTATGTATTATGCAAATCCAGCCCCACAGCAGGCTGGGGCCACACGGCTGCTGAAGGATGATCTTGAAGCCTCCACAGCAGGGTGGGAAGGAACTGATCACACTTCTCTGTGTCACGCTTTTTGGTCTCCCACTTAGGGAGCTTTAGGATCCAGCCTGGTAACAAGGTTCGGGATGATCCCTCCTCTGCAGGTCAGCCAGCAGAGCCCAAGGCAGCTGCCAGTGCGATTCCCAGCAGAGCCCTATCTACTGCCAGATACAGCCACCTTCAAAGCAGTAACCAACCTCCTGAGGTTTGGAGTGTATGCTCCTCCAGCAACAGGGTTTGACCCAGGAGATAGCCTGGAGGCTAAAGCTAACAGCATCATCCAGATTTTGGGCTACTGTCAGAGAAGTTCATCTGCAAATACAGCTGCAACACAGGGGCTGTGGCAAGCCCAAGCATGGGCTGAGCCTCTTGTGCAGGCAGCCCCGTTGCCACACGCCAAGACTTACCACCCCGATGCCTTCAAAAGCAAAGATCGCAGTGCCAAAAAACAGAGGGTAAGTCTTCCAGGCTGCTGCTAGAGGCAGGCCACTGGGATCAGGAATGTCCTGGAAAAGAGCCCATGCAGAGTTCAGATACAGGGAGCATGGGGAGGACCTGGCTTGCTCCCATCACTCCCCAACACAGCCCCATGCCACAGGGAAAACCCTGTGGAGCAGAGGGTAACCACTTTGCCCATGGGAACGAGCATCATCCCACAGTGTGCAAACACCCTCTTGTTGCGTTCCCTTCACCTGCCAAAACACAGGACAGCACAGAGGGAGCCAAACACACTTACCCTGACAATGTACTGGTAGATCACGACGAGGCTGCCAAGCATGGCCACGTTGGCCAGCATGGAGAAGATGGACAGGACCTTGAGATTCTGGATGAACGTGAGCAGCACCACAAAAGGCAGGAGGGACAGCATGTACAGCCGGGAGTCCATGGTGGGGGTCATGGCCACTGTCCTGTTCAAGCTGCAGTCATTGGTGGTCCCATTTGCTGTAGATATGACCTAGGAAAGCACAGGAAAGCCCGATGAAACCCACTGTGCAGGTGTGAAAGGATTTTGGCAGTGAACCCAGTGGGTCAGAATGCTACCCCATCAGCTCACTTTCAAGCACAGCTAGTTGATTAAAACCAGAGCAACGCAGGCTGAAGTAGCTCTGAAGCAAATGCCTGTTACCTCACTAGGATCAGAGGTGGGATTAGCCACGGCATCGCAGCTGAGACAGCAAAACCTGCCCGAGCCCAGGCTCAGTGAGCACGTGAACCTGGCAGCTGAGTGCACCAAGGGCAGAGGTTGGTTTGTGCTGCCCACAAGGCCAGTTGAGAAGAGAGGAAGGAGACATTAAGTGCTATTTCCTCAAAGGTCCTTTTCCTCTTGCTTCACCACGTTGCACAATCCCCTTCAGTCACTCAGTTCCCTGTTCCCACTCAAACATATCTGGAAGATACTGCTGGCCCCCAACTTTGCTTTCTTCATAGGAAAACATCCTTTCCTTGGGTCTGTCATTCCATAGGCACTCCATGCTATGTGCTCACGTCTAGAAAGAGTTCTGCCCCAGGAACCAGGTGGCTGAGCCATCCCTCCCAAGACCATGGGCACACTGTGGATCACCAATACAACCACAACCAAGCTGGTTTGGGTACAAGGTGCTGGCTGACCACTGCAGCAAAGGGCTACCTGCAAACTAATTTAAGCTGCTCTGGACTATGTCCTGCCCCAGATGAGAGGCTAAAGAGCTCCTGCACGTATCAGCATTCTCCATGGGAGAGGGCAGCACAGAGCCCCAGCCTGCCCTGCCTCTCCACGGCTTGCTCCAAAGCCATTTTCCAAACCAAAGGTCTGCCCAGCACAGCAGCAATGATCTCACCTGAGGTACCCCCGCACCATAGCTCCCACCTCACACACCAGTCTCACCACAAACAGAAACAAGCAACACTCCCCACCCAAAAAATTCCAAACCCGAAGCCAAGGGGTTTCCCAGCCGTGGGAGCAGCAGTGTGGCAGCAACCAGACCCCTTCTGCAGCACAGCAGGAGCACAAAGGGATAGAACGCTGAGCAGCACTTGCGAGGCACTGAGATGCTGGAGGCTGGGAACAGGGATTCCTCATTCCCAGTTTCTTACAGCACAGGAGCCAAGCGGTTCAGAGTTTCTGTTTATTTCCTCTGGCAGAAGGAAACTCTTTCCCTACAGATGTAATTAAGTTCCAGAGCCATGGGATGAGGAAAGAAACTGGAAGGCAAACAGGTGCAGGAAAGGGAGAAGAGGGGTTGACAGCAGGTCCTGGTATCCATACGTCACCCACCTACACAGAGTACCAATACAGCAATTAACTGAGGTGGGCAGGACATCACAGGTAGTGTCCCTTGTGTCACCTCTCTCTTGCCTTCCCTCATTAGGAACAGCCCCTGCTTCCCCTCGGGACACGGATATTTCCAGTGCCTCTGCACACAGAACAAAGCCACGGGGCTTCCCAGAAAAACCTGCCCTGTTTGAACAGGAAAACCTCTGATCCTTCAAAACACCCAGGCAATACCTTCCTGAGCAGCATGAGCTATGGAAACCAGACCTCTGGTGGCGAACAGAGCTGTGACATAGAGCTAAGAATAACCCAAACACCTCCACACACCCTCCCGCCTTCCCCTTGCTCCCAAAGGAAGGAGTAAACCTAACCTGCTTCAGATTGTCAGCCAGAAAGACAAAGTACACACAGCAGAAGCCCAGCTGAGTGATGATCAGGAAAAGTCCCACCAAGCGCCTAGAAGAGAAAAAAAGACCATTTGTTAACCAGGCCATGCAGAAATGAGCACACTTGGGCTGCTTGGGGCTGACATGAACACTGCAGCAAAGCTGCTCTCTCCAGAGGTTCAGGTGTGCAGGTAAGGGCATCAGCTCCCCTCTCTTTGATGATCTGGACCGATCACCATCTAACCTCACGGACCTCAGGCTCTCTGATCTCCCCCTCCTATCCCCTCCAAAGAGTCAGGACCAGCCTCAGGAGAAAAGTCTCCACCTTAGGTTTAACATCTCCAGTCTGCTGCTGAATTGTCATAGCTGGAGACAATGGCCCTCAAACACAGGAAGAGCTGAATGTTTCCAGCATCTGATGTGCCTGTATGACGTGATGTGGGAAACCACAGGGCTGGTGGCACCCCCAGCAGCAGCTATTGGCCACCCTCAGTGCCAGCAATGCAATACATGTTATTTACTCCTTTGTTATGCAGCAGAGACTTACTTCTCCCCCTCCTTTAGTATAAGCCACATCTGGCTGGGGAGAGGACCGGGTCAAAGACCTCAGTGTTACCCCCTGAGGGACAGAGAGCATCCAGGGAAGGTGTGACATATAATGTTATGTGGCTCTTGTGCTCATCTGCTCACACAGCTCAGAGACCAGTGGCTCCTCTGTCCAAGCTGCACTTAAAGACAAGTCCCATGCCTGGAGCAGGGGAACAGGTACCTTCCCCAGATGGCATGTGTCCGCAGCCAGGCACTAGGAGTCGATTCCAGCCCGTACATCATGGCACCTCCATAGTCCACAAACTGCTTCTGGAACCTGCCCCAAGGAAGAGAGATCTCACATCAGCCCTGTCTGCTGGTTCCCAGGGCAAATGATGACACGAATGGGTAAACAGCTCCTGTGAAAAGCCCAGCAGCAATTCCCAACTGAGGTTACAACGCAGGGAGCTTGCTGCTGGGAGGCTCCACAGGACTTCTTGGGAAGGAAAGAACTGTGGGAGCAGTGATGCAGAGGAGGGGAGCTGCTCCTTACCTGTAGCAGAAGTGATGGGCGCACTTCACCAGGATGCCCATGCAGTGCACAGCCACGACTCCCATCACCAGCAGGCTCAGAGGACCCAGCTGCAGGGAAAAGAGGGGCAAGGCTGCACTCTGATGGCCAAAGGCAGAGCTGCACAACACGTTTGACTTCCAGACAAAACTCCACAGGCTCGGGGAGCCAAAACATCACTGGAGGCTGAACCATTGCTCAGGTGCTGCTCCCAGGAACCAGCCTCCCAGGACAAGACAGAGAGCCACCAGCTTGGCAGGAATGATGCAAAAGCAGCAAGTTGGGGCAGTCTGGGTGCAGCAAAGCGCTTCCAGGGTTTCAAACTGTCTTGCACATCCTATTACGCAGGTGACAGAGGTCACGGTCCAGGCAGAGGAAGGAAGTTTTCCCTTTCAATTACTTGATTTTTCAATCTGAGCAATGGGAATGCTGCACTGCTGGGCAAGGAAACCCAGAGCAGAGCAGTGAGGTGCCCTCCGCCTCTCACACGGGGGGCAGTTGCTGGGGCTTAACACAGACACGGTGGAACAGCACCAGGATGGAAGCCGGAGGGAGATGTGACAGCAGCCAGGGGCTGCTGTTTGACTTCCAAGTGCAACCTCAGCCCTCAAGCAGCAAAGCCACATCAGATCCACTGATCTCAACACAGCTCTGAGGCTGGACCAGCACACATGAAACCCCACAGAGGGAAGCACGGTGCCATCTCCCATCACCAGCCTTAACCAGTGCACAATGGGACTCCTCACTTGCACGCTGTGCTTGTAGAACCCTTAGGAGGTGCACAGCATGCTCAGCACACATTGACTGGGACAAACCAAGGCTGAGGCTGTGCTGAACCTGCCATGACCAGGGTGAGGAGCTGCCACCCGAGCAGTCTCTGCAGCAAACAAGGCAAACCACAGAGCCCAGGGTGCAAAAGCTCACAAGCAACCAAGCACCAAGAGGCATCTCAGTGGGGAGTCAAGCCCTAACACCAGCCATGCAAGCAGCCCAGCGCCCTGAGATCACTGCCCCACGAGCACCCACACAGCAGAGCTGAGAGCTGCCTTACCAGGATGCCGGCGTTCTTCACTGCCAGAGGCAGCCCCAGCAGCCCCGTGCCAACATTCCCCTTCAGGAGATGGATCAGGGTCTGGTACCACCTGAGGGAGAGAAGATGCAGAGATGACCATTGGCAGATGCCCACACCCAGACCCTGCACAGTCTCAGCCCCCCAGTTCATCGTGCTCAGGGTCCAGCAGCTCTGAGCTGCTGCAGGAAACACACACAGAGATCCAGATCCTGTCACCTGCACTCAGTGGGACTGAGGAAGGACTGGAGACAAAGACTCAAACAGATTTTGGGTGGGCATTTCCAAAACCAGCTCCAAGGCAAAACCCACCATGAGCTTAGCACAAGTCTCTGAGTTGAAGGGGTCAGAGACAGCATCCTCTGCCCACCTGGGTGAATAAGGCAGAAGAAAGCCCCCAGGGCATGGCTGCAACATGCCCACTTGTCCTCTGAAGCTGGACATGACGTTTGCTCAACACAGCTCCCCATTGAACCAACATGGAGTGGGGGAATATTGGGAAAAGCATTGAACTCTGCCAGATGCTGCCAAGCCCAGCTTTACTGGAGAGCAGAGTGACACTGGGGCAGCTGCTCCTTTGGTGCCAGCACTCCTTGGAGTCAGGACCACAACTCTGCCCTCACTATCCCCAGGAGGACTCCCCATAAAGCCATCACCCTCCCGCAAAGCCAACAAGGAGCCGCCATCACCTCCTCCACCCTCTCCATGTGCTGGGCAGGAGGGAAGCATCACTCACGTGGTCCCATTGGTCTCCCCAAAGCGCTGGTAGGACTCAGGATGAGCAAACCCATTGATGCCGCCGGGAGGGCTCCCCTCCGGTGTCACATCCGTGGAGCTGTAGTCGTTGTAGTCCTCGCTGCGGAGGCGCCGGGTGGACATGGTCCCTGTGGAGGGGGCAGCATTAGGGGTGCCCAGCTCAACACCCCCCTTGGCAGGCTCCTTGGGGTCAGTCATGGTGCAGAGAGCAGCTCGTGCTGCCGGAGCAAAGTCTCCTCCAGGGCTTTTATGGAGCAGCACGCTCCCGCCCAGGCAATCACGGAGCTGGCATGTCCTAAGGTCAAGGGTGCATGGCACATTCCCACCGGCTCTTCCTGCAGGCCTGTGCCCCTGTTTTGGGCACACCCAGCAAAGACAGGCTCAGGATCCTGCAGGAAGGGCCTGGATGCAATCTGCTTCACGTCAGGTAAGGGTGCCGGTGTCCCCCTGCTCTGAGGGTGGTGAGTGTGACAACACAGCCACAGGCAGGGGGGACATGCTGGCAGCCCTGGGACTTGGGACTGGAGCTGTCAAGAGGATGGACAGGGGAGAGCCAGGGAAGGGAAAGTTTCTCAACTTTTTAATTAGAGACCTTTTATTAAAAAGAATAAAAAATACTGATTGAGGTCCATCAGGCAGGAGCGCAGCCCGTGTGCAAACCACCCACTCCCCAGGTTTCACAACCACAGAGGTGTATCATGGACTTCCCGGGATGAGGCACCTGCATAACTGTCATGGTTTAAACTCTTGCTCCAGGCAACACCCCAGCAGAATCCTGCAAGCCGGGAGCACCCACACCAGCTCCACCAAGGACACTCCAAGGAAGCCTCCTGCCTTCAGCTGGTTTAATTCCCACACGTGGCCTGAAGAGCTCCTGCTGCTTCTGCACAGCCTCCCATCAAGAGCCTCTGCTTCCTCCACCCCCCAGCAGCACTCAGCACCCTGAATGCCAACTAGGAAGGAGCACCAGAGGCAGGGAAATCATCTATCAGGCTCCTGCCCCATGGCCTGGTGACTCAGTCCCTGCCCCAGGGCTCCCCTGGGGTGTCATGCCCAAGGCATCACCCCCTGCCCCAGCAGTCCCAGCCCCTCTGTGCTGATGGGGGAGCCAGGCTGGGGCCAAGCAGAAGCAGCAGGGGAATATTACCACAAACGGGCTCGTTTCCTGCCAGAGGCTCCTCCAACACCCGCCAGGTCACGCGAGCACCCACAGGACGCTGCTTTATTTCCTGCAGCACCAGGCAGCAGGGAGCAGGCAGCAGGGATGCTCCATCCTGCGCAGCACCAGGGCTGCTCCATCCTGCGCAGCACCAGGGCTGCTCCATCCTGCGCAGCACCAGGCTCCCCACAGCGCTGAGCCTGCTCGCGGCTGAGGGCAGCGCAGGCAGCACTCCCGCCTGCCTCCTCCCTCGCAGCCAGGACGTGCAGTCATGTCCTGAACCGGCTCTGCCGCGGGCAGGGTGAGACAGGCACTGGGAAGAGCGGCGGTGTTAGTTTATACAAGGAAAGCGTTAGATGCTCTTTGTCATCGGTGACGAGCCAGAGGAGCAGGGGAGAGACTTGGGAGGCTTTGCCAAGCATTAAGGAATGGTAGTGGGCAAGGGCGGCAGGCAGAGGGGTGCCAGGGTTGGGTCAGGCACGGATACACCTCCCTGGAGATGGTCTGTGCATTATCTGAAGTACTCAACAGCGATGCTCTCAGACAAAACCCAGTCACATCAATCTGCCTGATTGCTCCTCGTGGTTTGTTTTTCTTTTCCCACAAGCTTTTTGCTTTGAAGAGCCAGGGAAACGCACTCACCATGACTTGCCTTGTGTCTGGATTAAAGGTTGCATAGCAGCAGGGTGAGAGCACTCAGCTCCCCCGCAGTCAAGCTGCAAAACTTGTCTCGTCCACACAGCAAACGCTTCAAACTGAAGCAAAACCCCACAACATTTTCTCATCATTACAAAGAGCAAAGACAGGAGCAGCCACATTCGGTTTCCACTTTAAACCCAACTCCTTGGCCACTTCCATGTGCATTTTCACTACCTATGAACATGAGCTGTTTCATTACGGTGACTGAACTACTCAGGAAGGCTGGGGCAGGGAAGTGACAGCAACTTGTCCTTCACAGCGACAACCCCACGCCACAAGTCAAAAGCAAGATGCAACTTGCTGCTGACCCCCACAGCTCTGCCCAGCTGAGCAGGGGCTGCGACACAAAATCCTCCAGAAATGAGCTGCAGGACAGAACTCCCTGCTGCTCCCCATCACACGTGCTGAACCCGCAGAGCGCTGCTTGTAACCCATCTCGCTGTGACACAAGGGAGCCTGCTTGGCACAAACCTCCTGGTCTCAAAGCTCCAGCCCTGCACCCTCTTAAAGCAGCATGTCTGCACCCTGCAGAGCACAGGGCTCCCTGCACCTCACCCTGTCCACAGTGTCACACAGCACCTCACACCCATGCAGGATCTAGGCAGACCCACACACTCCCTCAGTGTCAGCTCTGGGCACCCTGAGGCACCCCTGGAAGCTGCCAGCAGCCCCTACATGCGCACAGGCTCTGAGCATACACACACACACACACACACACACACAGTCACATACACGGACTACCAGCACCCATGCAGGCTGCAGCGCACTTCTACACACCTGAGCACCCACACCTGATGCCAGCACCCCAGCGACCCCCGCACACCCATGCAAGGTGCCAGCACCCCGCAGGCTCCAAGCACCCCCCTACACACCCTGCCGTGTATAACGCCTGCCAGCGACCCCCTGAGTGCTGTCAGCGCGCCCAACCCCCCCAGCTCGCTGCTGCACCCCGGAGCACCCCCTCGGGCTGCGCGCACCCCCGGGACCCGCGCACACGTGCGGGACGCCGGTTCCCCCCGCCCCTGCATCCCTGCGCACGCCGCGGGCTGCCGGCCCCCCTCCGCGCATCCCTGAGCACCCGCACGCTGACAGCGCCCTCCCGCGGGCCGGCAGCCTCCGGTACCGGCCCCATCGGTACCGGCCCCATCGGTACCGGCCCCATGGTCCCGGTCCCGGTCCCGGTCCCGGTCCCGTACCTCGCCTCCGCCCCTCGCCGCGGGGACCCCGCCGGGCAGCTCCCTCGTCACGTGACAGCCGGATCAGCTGACCGCAGAGCCCGCTCCTGCGCACGGAGAGCGGTGAAGGCGAGGGGCGGAGCGAGGGGGCACTGCGGCGCCTCCTGGTGGGCGCTGCGGGGATTGCAGGGGCGCAGCTGCTAACGGGGGAGCGCTGAATCAGTGGGCACGAAGAGCATCCCCCCGCTTCCAACCCAAACTATTCCGTGAACCTACGATCCTGTGGCATGGCAGAGTGCCGCTTACTGCAGGTTTTCCATATGCAACTGCACAGGGTGCTAAATAACCTCACCTAGGCTCCCTTTCCCCCAAAAAAGGCTGGATTGGATGATCTTTGGAGGTCCAGTCCAGGTGCTGTTCTTTCATTCTGATTCTAAACCCCACAGAGCAAGGCAGGCTGGGGAGAGGGTCACTGAGGCAAGCAACAACGCAGAGACCCAGGGGGACAGGGACTGAGTCCTTGTGTCCAAAAGCAGCGCCTGCAGATCCCATGTGTCCCTCACACAGGAGCCAGCCTCAGGGCTGCTCACACTCAGTTCTTCTGGCTTCAGCACCCTCTACTGCTGCCCCCACCCCGGGCCCAACACTGCTTTTGCTTCCCCCACATGCTCAAAACCACATCCCTGCTATTTCAAGGCAAACAAATGTCACCCTCAGGTCACCCCCAGCACCAAAAGGCACCAGCGCCGCTTCCTGATAAAAAGATTTATTAAGAACCTACCCAAAAGGAGGATGCAGCCCTGGCACAGGCACTGCATGACAGTGGGGAGCGGGGTGAGAGGGTTAGTGCCTCTCCAGGCAAAATTACCCCATTGGACCCAGCAGCAGGATGAAGCAAAGCAAGTTGAGGGCACAGAAAGGTGATGGGAGAACATCTGTGTGGCAGAGGACCTCACGCCGGGGCAGCCCGGCAGTAGTTAAGGCATATAAAGTGCTTGGAGGAAGACCAGCCCTATGGAGAGGCTAAATAATGCAAGCAGGCAGGAACAGCGAGGGATGAGGGTGGCTGGTGAGTCACCATGGGACCTGGCATGGGCAGGCAGGAGCTGCAGGCAAGGATGCTGCCTGCCCATACCTCAGCACCCAGCCACAGCCAGGAGATGGGCTGCAGGGCCCCCAGATAGGAACCAGGCTGCTGGTCTTCATGGTCATCTCAGTCCATCCCATGTCTGGGATCCTGCTCCATGTTGTGGTGCACTGGAAGGATGGTCCCAGGGCAGTGTCATGCTTCAGCTCAGTCCCAGTGGCAAAATGAGATGAGGGGGACTTGTCCTTTGTCCCCATTTTGGGGACACTTCTGCAGAACAGCCCTATTTTGTAGGGACCAAACCAGCCCTGGCCAGAGGTGGTGGGGGCAAGCAGGGACACCCTCCACAGCTAATCCTGCATCCCTCCAGCCTGCCCCAGCACTCGCAAACACTCCCTCCTCCGCAGGGACTGCTCCAAGAAATATTGCTTTTCCCTGGAATGTTTCTGTCTAAAATTACCCTAATGGGATTAAGGAAAAGAGAAACCCAGTATAAGACAAGTACCCCCAGGTCGTGCTGAAAGGCTAGGGTTAGGCTCCAAGGCCACCCTGTGTGGTGCAGGGGACACCCTGGTGATGGGGTTGGGGGCAGCAGGCCAGCCAGAGGAGCACCGAGCAGGGGTATGGAGCTGCCTCCTCCTGGCAGCAGGAGGGATGCGCCTCACAGGGATGGGTTGGGGTGCAACGGGATGGGATGGAAGGGGACAGGACGGTGGGGAGCAGAAGGAGGTCCCCTGCCCCTCACTGGGACTGCAGGGAGAAGGCCAGCTTGACACAGCCGAGCTCCTCCCCACCATTGCTGACAACAGCCCGCACGCGGTAGTTGCCGTTGGTCATCCAGGAAGGCAGCTCCATGTCGGGCAGCACGAAGTCACTGGCTGGCAGCGAGTAAGAGCCCTATGGAGAGAGGGGACATCGTAGGGAAGACATCAGCTGAGCCCCGCAGCCCCCCACCAAAGGGCATGGTGGTACCCAGCATCACACCAATGGGGGTTCCCCACATACCGCTTTGAAGGGGCAGTGGCAGGGGATGCCATAGGTGAGCAGGGGCTCCGGGCACGTTGTGCCGGGTGGGATGAGCTCGTCCAGGATGGTGCAGACATCATTGTAGGTGCAGCTGCCCAGCTGGTCAATGCAGGGTAGTTGGATCCAGAGGTCTCCCAGCGCCTTCTCCACCACCAGCACAGCCTGGAGGGAAGGTGTTCAGCACTGGTACAGGCAGCACGGGCACCCGTGGCTCCCCCAGCCTGTCCCCTCCCCAGCGATCTCCTTCAGCTCCTGTTCGTGCAGCCCTTGGGGTGTCCATGGGGCCACCACAAGCCCTCCTGTCTCCCCTCCTGTTTTCAGTTCCTGTCTGCCTGCAGGTTTCTCTTCCTCTAACCTCAGCTTGCCCTCTTGAGCAAACACCTCTCAGCACCTCACAGCCCCGCTCCTTCCCACCTCCTCCATGCCCTACCCAAAAACCACAGCACACTCCCCACGGCCCCAGCCCCAAACATGCACCGTGGCATTGCTCAAGACAGCCCATGCACCTTGGGCAGAGACATGTCCCGTCTCATTCCGAAAGGTCCCCTAAAAGCAGCGCAGGGCACCCAGGGCTCCCACAGCAGGGTCGTGGCATGTCCATGGAGGGAGCAGCTGAGCCTGGCCACCCAAAACCGAGTGCAACAGTGACCATTGGGAACACCCAGGGTGTCCTTTCCCTCCCTGAGTCATTACTCCCAGGGCGTGACACAGCTCAAGTGGTTTCTCCCACTGGGATAAGGTTGGGAGCTTCCCACTGGGCTGTCTGCTCCCACTGCAGGTCTCCTTGTGCCCATTGCCCCATTCTGGCTTACAGAGCCTGATGTGCTCAGCCCCACACCGTTCCATGCCTCATTCCCCCAAGGGCTGCTCATTCCCATACCCACTGCTGGGCACTTCCCAGCTGCCAGTGGTTTTGGGAAGCTCATCCTGCGGCAGCATCTCCATCACGTACCTTCAGAGGGGAGGCCATGGTCTTGCCGCTGTTGACGGCCGCACTGACACGCAGACTCCCTGGGATGCTGATGGGGTCGGGTGCCACGGAGAGGCTCTGCAGCACCACGGGGTCCCTCCTGTCACCGCAGTTCTCCCAGGCAAAGCCACCAACCTGCAGCACCAAGGGACAGGAGGAGTTAGAGCCAAGGTGAGGCCTGACCTAGGTTTGCACAAGGTGTCCCCAGTGCTGGAGTCCTGACCCCCAGAAACATCTACTCACAAACACAGCCAGAAAATGACCTTCAGCCACCCTTTGAATGCCAAATGAGCTTTTCCCTCTTCATTTCTCACACTCTCACCTCTCTGAGCCTGAGGGCATCGCAGAAGCTCCCAGTCCAGCCCCATTGCGTGTATTTCACACCTAAATGGGGCTCCCAGGCTGCAATCTCCAAACGTGCCTCAGCTCAGCCTCCAAACGCTTTGTACATGAACAAGGTGAGAAGCCAACGGCATGGAGCAAGGTGTGAGAGAGCAAAGGCAACAGAGCAAGGGGGAACAAGAGCAGGGTGTTCAACTAGCAGGATGCTGTGCCTTGGGGTGGCCGTGGGGCTGGCACAAACTCCCAGCTCAGCCCGGCTGTTGCAAGCCCTCATCCACCAGTTCCAGCCACCTAGTTCTATGCAGGAATAGGAATCATGCTCATGTTGTGTTTTAAACATGGCTTAACGTTTCCATCTCCACTCATGCTCAGAGGACAGACGAGCCAGGTTTGCCCCTGCCTGAATGAATCTGATCCTGAGCTGCTTCAGTCTAAATGAGCCAGGGAAGCAGCATTGTCCTGTGGGATAATGAAAATCCACATGCAGGGGATGTAACCCAGAGAGGGGGGACACCACTTGTGTGTTCTGGGTGGGCTGGGAGCCATGCTGGGAGATCTCCCGTTTCCTCTGAGTCCCACCAGCCTCTCCAGCCATCACTGGCAACATCGCAGGAGCCCTTTGCTCCCACAACCCAAGCTCCAACGCAGGGGGATGCCAGCACCCTCCTGCAACATCCACCCCTGAACCTGCTGCGAGAGACCAGCTCCGGCTCCCTCCCGGTGCAGGCTCCAGCCTAATGGCAGATGCTTTCCTGGCAGGGATGGAGGAGGCATCCCGAGCAGGTTTGGCCGGGGCAGCCCGTGTCCCCATGCCGTGGGGCTTTCCCTGCCTGCTCAGCAGCCGCAGAACCGGTGGAGGCTGAATTACCTGGTGCCAGGCGGCAGCCCCAGCGGGCACTGCAGGCAGGAGCTCATCCTGCGTCCTGCTCACCAGCCCAGGGCAGGACGGGGCTGAGGGCAAGCCAGGACAAGGGGCAGGCTGCGCCCTGAGGTTTAGCAAGAGCTGGGAGACCCTCACCCACAGGTAAAGAGACTCCATAGGAGCTAATGCAGACTGCTGTGACACAGAGCCCCTCCAGCCTTCCTAACCGGCTCCCTCTGTCCCGGAGCAACATCAGCTTTCCTGGAAAATAAGTAAAAGAGGCTCCCCTTCTCACCGTGTGAGAGTCATGCGTTTTAATCAGCTGTATCTTAATCAGCGCCTGTTGATGAGCCCGGCCCAGCGCTGCGTGGGAACGAGAAGGCAGCAGCCCGAGCTGGTGAGCCAGAAAATCCTCACGGAGAGGAGGAATGAAACCCGAGGTGCTGGGAAGCTCAGCCAAAGCAAGAGGCCGCTGGGCCCGAAACCCTTCTGGCTCCAAACAGTTTGTCAGCCCTGAAATCCCCTCTGGGGCTCGCCCCAAACCTGCAGCCACGGTCCCCACACACACGGTCAGGTCCATGGGATCCCACCACCCCCAGCCCAGCCGCGCACCCCAAATCGACCTTGCAGAAGGACGACACTCGTCAAAGCGCTGTTGATCCCTTGTGAAGCGCACCAGGACGGAGTGCAGCAGCTCTCCCGCACCCCGCACTGCTGGGGCTGCTCCCCGCATCCCCCCCCCAAAGAGCAGGGTCGGGGTCGGGGGTCTCTCACCTTGCCCAGCCTGCGGGACCCGCTCCGCTCCACCAGCAGCTGCGGGTGGGAGCTGCCGAGCGCGGCAGCACAAAGCTGCACCGCGCACAGCAGCAGCAGCAGCAGCGATAGCGCCGACACCCGCATCCCGACAACGCAGAGCTGGCCCGGCCGGCGGGGAAGCAAACCGGGGCGGGTTGGAGGAGGGAGGCGAGAGCAGAGGCCGGCGGGGGCAGCCGCGGAAGCGGAGCGGTGGGACTGCTGCTCCACCTCCCGTTCGGTGCCCTCCCCCTGTGCACGCTCAGATTTTCCCTTCCTCTTTCCCCCTTCCCTTCCCTGGTTCTGTTCCCAAGCGCAGGACTGGATTCGCCGGGATGCTGGGACGGGAAGATGCGCTTTCCCAGGCACCCAGGGACATCCACCGCCAGCCTCGGTGGATGCAAAGGGTCGGTGCCACCTCCCACCGCCTCATATCTCCCCAGCTCTCGCCACAGATATCGGAGCCCCCAGACCTGATGGTGTGTGCTGCAAGGGGTGGGAACACCCTGGGATTGAGTGGCCCTTGGCTGGGCAGTTTGCCACAGCACCCACCACCCATTCATCCAAAATCTCAGATTTTATACTCTTCTCTTCCACCTTCCCCCTTCAGTGCTCATTTTCAAGCCAGAGCTGCCCCAACCCCCCCCATCATGCTGGAATGGCCCCACGGGTACCCCGCCACCACAGACAGCACAGGAGGGTGGCTTTTCCCACATATTCTGGTGAACAGATGCGTTTTTTTCCCTGTGGAAAGCTGGAATGGGCACTGAGCATACAGGACATGAGTGTGGAAGGTCTCAGACCTCCCACCACCTCCACCACATCACGATTAGAACCCATCTGTGGGACCCTTCCCACAGACAGCTCTGCTCCCCCTCGCACACTGACACTGGCTGGCCTCCCCATATCATTCCCAGCCTTGGGAAGGGTTGCCTGGCTTGTCCAAGCCAGCGCTATTTTTAGCCTTTCATCCTTATTTAGCAGCAAGGCCGGCTGGGAGCGTGCAGGCAGGGCAGGGAGCAGGCAGGGACCGTGACGGATGCTGCTGCCCACCCTGCACCAGCAGCAACAACTGTGCCGCTGATCCACTGCGGAGGCTTAAGGGTGAGGAATAAATAGCCTGGATCCTCCCATCCGGGAGCAGGGCTGAAAGTTATTCCTTGGGATTAGTTTTCACTTTGAGGCCCCAGAGCAGCCGGGGGACAGGGACAGGGACGGGGATAGGGGAGAGGCATGGGCATGGCCAGAGCATCATGTTTGGAGGCAGAAGGGGAGAAGAGCCCCTTGCCTTCAGCCCCCAGCATCACATGCTTTCCTTCTTCTCACAACCAGTGTGGGTGAAGGTTTCACTCCCACATTCCCATCCTTCCCCCCTCCATTTTGCTGTGGTGGGAAAAAGGAGAATAAAGGACTGTAAAGACAGGTTAACCCACACCTTAGTGCCTGGAAAAACACAGGCAGGCACAGGAATGACTTGAAATGGCTGCTCTACCTCAAGGCAGAAGCATGCGTGACCTAGGTCCCCACCAGAAGAGTCTGTGATGTCTCTTTTTCCAACACATGCAAGATCCTCTGCAGTTCAAATAGTTCTCTGAGCTGTCTCTTGCATACAAAGCCCCAGCCATGAGGTCTCAGCAGATCTGGCTCAACATCTTCCATTTGCATTGAAGGGAAGCAGCAAGCACAGATGAGTTGATGACTTTGTGAGTTCTATTTGACAAAAGCAAACAGATTGCAAACAATGAGCGGGGTGAAGGATACAACCACAGACCACCTTCTCTTTCTGCCTTAGCTCCGCATCACCACCAGCCAGAGTATCACCTGAAAACCTCCCAGCAAAATCTTCTCCCCTTTTTTTTCCCCCAGTTTGGGTTAAATAATAAAAGAAACAAAATTTAAAATGAATGGTCCCATTGCGCTCATGGGACCACAGAGACCAAGCAGGGTCCCACTTGGATATCCCATGTGCTGGCACCAGCACTGCCTTGTACCCACCCTATCCCACCCAGTCCTTACCAGCTGGAACTGGAGAGAGAAAGGAGACGCTTTAACAGCTTGCATAAATACTTCTCTTATCCATGAGCTTTGGCAAACACTTTAAATGACCATTGGTACAAATTAACTCCAGGCTTGGCCAGCTGTTATCCCATTTACGGCAATTCAGCTGAGCGTGAGATAAACGCTCCTAAGCTCCCTTCTCCAGACAAAGCCCTTGAGATGGCTCCAGCCAGCTGTCTCTCCTTGAGAGAGATGGTGATAACACCAACAAAGACACCAGGGCAAACTTCAGAACAAGACAAAGCTGCCCCAGGTGGGGCTGCCACAAGCTGCTTCTGCTTCCTTGTCTTTGAATGGGGAGAAATCCCCTCGCTGTCATGGTCCCATCACCTCCAGCCCTCTGCAAGACTCCTCAGCCCCAGGCGCTCCCCAGATCTCCAGGCTCTACTGGTTAGGGAGAAGGGGATGAGTTGTTGAAGCTATGAATCCCACCCCTTCAATGCCCTGTAAAGCCCCTGCTCTGCTCCAAAGCAGCTGGACACAAAAGTTTCTGGCTGTTTAAGTGCTGCCCTGGTGCAAGTTATCAGTGTATTGGGGCAGAAGAAGATGAAGCAGGGCTGAGGTGGGAGATCTCAGCAGCAAGGACACATCCCATGCAGCCTGCATAGAAAAGATGGGAGAAACTGAGGAATTGCTAAAATCAAGCTAAAATAAGGGAGTTTTGGGGCAGCACAGGCATGGCCTCAGGCAGGCAGCCACACAGATGCTCCTGTGGGCTGAAGGAAGCATGTAATGTCATTTGGTGTGGCCTCTTCTCCAAAAGTTAGTGATTTATATAAATGTAGGGTTGGAGCTGCCATGGTGAGCACAGCAAAACAGAGCCTGCAGCAGCAGCACAGGGTATGTGGCACTTAGGGATGAGGGTGTGCTCACTCCACATCCCCAAGCTCCATCTCTGCCTTGCTGGCTTCATGCCTCAGCCTAATGTGACCAAACCCACTGCTTTTTCTCCACCATTAGCAAGAGAAACCCTACCCAGAGCCCTGCCTTGCGCATTCCAGTGCACCCCATTGGTGCCCCACAGTTAGAACCAGAAATGACCACGCGCACAAGTGCAAGCTGCTGCGCCTTGGTGCACCAGCAGGATGTGATGGCAGCTGGGCAGGCTCCTCCTCAGCTGCCCACACAGTTGCTTCTGTTCGCAGCCGTGGCCCCAGCGATGCAAATTCAGCCTGGAATACGCATGTGCTTTGTGCCTGCCCCTGCACGCCTTCAGCTCCCAAGTCTGGACCAGGATTTTTCATTACCCATGAAGAGGTGGAGACCAGCACCTTGCTGAGCTTTTTATCCCACAAACCGTCTACTCAGCCCAAATAAGTACACTCAGGCAGGGAAGGAGACTTGCCCCATGTATGAAGTGCTGGGAGAGATAAGAACAGAGACACTTGTGGTGGTTTCTGAGGAGGGGGAGCCGATGCCAGGAAGCTGCTGTGACTCACCAAACTTCACCCAGGTTAAGCAGCACCTACCCAAGAGCATGAAGCCAACTGGTCCCACCAGTCCCCAGGAGGCTTGGGGCCTGCCCCTCACCTTCCCCACCCTCCTATCCTAAGGGTGAGACATCCCAAGTGATGTTTCACAACTTACCCACTCCAGTCCCAGGGTTACCAGGGCAGAAAGAACACCTCCACATCACACGTGATGGGGATGTCGCACACCTCCTCTCCCTTGCTGTGTGGGCAGGAGGAGCAGCGGTGAAGCACCAGCCGTGCTGGCAGCCCCTGGGCCCGCAGGCTGCTTGGACTAATCCCAGGGGATACGTGGAAAATGTCAGAATAGAAACTTGTTGACAAAAACTGGCAGTGTTTCCATATGGGCACAGCCTCGTGACCGGGGTGAAACACTCCTGTTTCAGCAGTGCTGGGTGGCAGCAGTCTTTATTTCAGGTCAGGATGTGTGTTCGTTTAGAAATGTCTGTTCTTTCACTGTATTTAAAGAATATCCCCAGAACCAAAACATTTGGAGGAGCCTGCCTTTCCTCCTGTTAAGTTCTAGACAGGACACTTTCAAACCCATGTGTTTTCCTACCTCTCCAGGACGCATTTCCAAAGTGCAAGGTTTCCTCCTGGAAAAGGGCACCCTGGCTCCAGGCGCAGTATGTGTTTGGGATGCTCAAGAGGGGGTTAGGCAGGATGCAGTCCCCCAGGCAGTATGGACCACAGTGAAAGCCCCCTCCAGCCAGCACAGCTACCCCCATAGCAGATCTGCTCCCAGAATAAAGCACCCCAAAGCCACCACTTGTACACAACCACCCCAGGACAAGCTGAAACCTCATGGGGTGATGGCAAAAGCCAGGATGGACCCTACCTTTGCCGCTCTCCCACGTGGCTGGTGTGGGTTCACCAAGGAAGCACCATGAGGCCGCCCTGCTCCAGCTGAACCCCAGCCCCAGCGCAAGGTCCTGCTGTCCTTTTCCCTTACGCCAAACGGAGCATCCTCAGTGCAGGTGACCCCATGGACACACCAACCCGCAGGACGGGGGATCCTTCCACCTTGGAACGAAGCACCCCGAGGATTGGAGGGCTCGGAGAACCGGAGCACCCCGCCGGATGCCCGCGGCCAGCCCCGGGGGCGGGCGGGCTGCCTCCGGGGGCCCTGCCCTTGGCTCGGGGGTGCAGAGCACCCTCTCCCGGCGCTGCCTGCGAGCAGCTGCGGAGACTTTTTTATTATTATTAATTATTTATTTATTCTGTATTTTTTTTTCCTGCCTGCCAGCTGGGGCGGCTCGTCCCGTCCCGTCCCGTCCGGTCCCGCCGGGCAGCGGAATCCGCTCTCCCGGGGATGCTGCGCTCCGCGCCCCGCGGCTGAGCCCCATGGGCTGCACCGGCAGCGCCCTGCGCTGCTGCCCCGTCGGCGGCCAGGTAGCGGCTGCGGGGCTGGGCTTGGGGTGGGCTTTGCCTAGGGTGGGGGCGTGCGAGGGGTCGGGGCTTTGCGTGGAGCTGGGGTTCGCGTGGGGATGGGGGGTGCGTGCAGCCCCGCTCGCACTGCTGCGGGTGGGAGGTGTGCGGGGGGGTGTGGGTGTGTGGCTCGGTTATAACGGGCTGTGAGTATCCCACCGGGTACAGTGGGAGTTGCAGCCACCTGTGCTGCACCCCTCTGGGCTGTACGCCCCACATCACCCGCGCTAAACTGGGGTGACAGTGCCTGTTGGAAATGCTGGTCCCATATAGGAGAGGGATGGGTTCTCCCATCCTCTGCCACTCTCCCACAGCATCCTCCCTTGCCCCAAAAGTTGTCCCCCCTCTCATGCTGGGTCCCCCTTTGTGCTGAAGGCAACACTTCTTCAGGGGGATGCTGAGTCCCCAGCAGATATCAGTGCATTGCTCTGCACTGAAAACCTCTTGTGGTTTAAGGTCTAGAAATTATCCGCTGCTTATTATTGCACTTTTTTGACGCATTCTCACTTTGCCATGTGCCTTGGGAGGTATTTGAGAGGTTGTGCTGTGTGTAACTGGTGTCAGTGGCGGCTGGAGGGTGGCAGGGGCAGGAGGAAAGCTGGAAAGGCCCCATAGTGCTGGTGTTCCCCCCTACATGGACAGCCCTTTGCAGAGGCAGCTGCAAGAGCTCGGCTGCCCGGGACCATGTGTCTAAAGCACAACCCACTGCTGGGATGTGTGGGGGAGCAGGAGTGGAGCTTGCACAGCCCCGCAGCCAGCAAGTGCCTTTATTTACAGCACTTGCAGCCTTGGCTGCTTCTCCATAGCATAGAAATTAAAAACAAACCCCAAACACTGTTCTCTCTGTCATGGGATCAGACACTTGTGGGCTGGTTTGTGACTGTGAGAAGGGGCACGGTGCAGGCAGAAAACAGCAGCCCCGAAGCTGCAGGTGCTGAGAACTGAAAGGAGGAAATTGAAGTCAGTCACTTGCCCGCAGACACCTCCCTTCCTGCCCTCGCAGGCTCCCCAGCTCCTGTGCTGTGCCTTGAGGCACTGCTCACTGCAGTTTGTGCCCCATAAAACAGCCCTGATGCTGTGACTAAGTCACAAGTTAATCCTGAAAGCAGCGCTGAAAATCTCCTTTATGGCAGCAAGGGGTGAGGGCAGGCATCGGGCTGCTCCTGCACACGTCCTCACATCCTGGGTACCAAAAGGCAGGTGGGAGACTTTCATCCTCCCACTGCTGATGGGTGGACTTGCAGAGGTGGTCCCATGGGGCTGTTTGGGGATGGGGGAGCTGTCAAACCCAGGCAGACCCGGGTGGGCATAGAATCATAGAATGATTTGGGTTGGAAAGGACCTTAAGACCATCCAGTTCCAAAACCCTGCCATGGGCAGTCCAGTTTGCACCATGGATAATGAGCACAACTAGGAAAAGACATCATTGGGCTGGGGGCTGCAGAGGCTTTGGGGCCAGTCCCATATTGGAGGTGACCTTGGGGAGCCCATGCTGAGCTGGATCTGGTGGTGGATTTCATACCAGGCACTGCTGCGTGCCCTGGGGGAGGAGGCTTGGCAGCCTCATTCTTCCCATCACTGGTCTGCAGGGCGATAAGGATGCACAGGAGAAGATGCCACAGACAAAGCCCGGCTCCAAGCTGCAGGCACTGTCCCTGCAGGTCCCCTTTCCTCCATCTCTATCCACACTTGGCCACCCAGCACCACCACTTGCCCTTCAGTCGTGCTCCCAGCGTGAGAGAGGCTGAGACTCCTTCCCAAAGGATCGGGGCTGAGCTTTGGCCGCCTTCCAGTGCTGGGGTGAATTTATTTTGGAGATATAGGAACTATATGTAGCAGCAGGAGCCAGGGAAAGGTCAGGATGCAAAACTCAGGGCTGTCAATGGCATGAAGGCTTTGTATACGGTCTGCGGCACAGATCTGACTGTACGAGAGGTGATGGTCATCTCGTAACACAACCTCAATAGAGGAAAAACAGCAGCAGAGTCAAAGGCAGGTCCCACAGACCTGAGCCAGCGTTGCTGTGACAGAACTGAGCATCTGCTGCAGGTCCTGGGGAGGTTCTATAGGGTCACAGGCAAAATCCTGGCCCCCTTCTCCAGGGCCACAAAGCAGAACCTGGAGCCCAGGAGCAGAGTTGGGATTTAAATGCTCATTTCCTGCCTCTGTGTGATTTCGTTTGTTGTTGCAGGGTTTCATTGCTTAACACACTTGTAAAACAGGAAAGGAGGAAGAAAAATACAGTGCAAAACCCCACCTCATGCTGAAAGCTGAAGCAGAGGCTGCAGCTGCCTCTGTGCGGGTCCTCCCCACCACTGGCATCTTTTGGGATGCCTCAGGTGCGCTGGAAATCCCAGTTAATCCACCCATAAACAGCTCTGCTCCACACCATTAGAAATGTTTAGTTCTAAGAATGTGGGCACTTTTTTTTATAGCTGGAAGGTATTTCTTTTCATGAGCCTCTCCAAAGCCAAAGCCAGAGGTTTCCATGCTGAGACTTTACAGCATAAGCAGTGCTGCCGGTGCCCTGCACCTGAGGGATGTTCCAGACTGCTTCTTCCCTGGGCCAAAGCCATTCCAGATGGAGCAACTCCCAACCTGCTCCTTTCATAGTGGATACTGGGACTGGCTTCCAGCTCTCCACAATGCACGGGTGACACCAGAGGTGTGGGTGCCATGTGCTGCTCTGGAGGTGGCAGTGGAAGGTGCTGCTGTATTTCAGGTTACAGTCATATTTTGCTTTTCACCTGGCTTTGGAGCTCTCATCCCGAAGGACAATTGAGTGCTCAGGAGTGAAATTAGCTCAGGACACTACTGCAGTAGCTCCTAGAGGTAGGAAGGGTGTCTCCATGTCCACCCCATGGACAGTCCCCTGGCACAGCTTGTGCTTTCTATCAGTAAAAACTGTGAGGTGTTTGAGGCTGCTGTGATGCTCCCAGGCTTGCAGAGCCACGACTGCCCCATCCACACTCTCCAGACCCTAAAACCCAGCATGGGACACGGGGTACATTAAATAGCAGGAGCGTGCACATTAGCATGAGACGGGTGAGGGAGGAGGATGGGGACCCTGCAGCTCAGCAGCATCCTGGGGTGACCCATGTTTGCAGGGCAAGTTGTGTCGGGAGTGAGAACAAGCCCTATGAATCCCGACCATCTGGTGCCTCCTTATCCCACTGCCTGGGCTGTGTTCAACACCGCAGCGCTCACGCCATAGAAGGGAAGATAAAGCTGTGGCTTCCCAGAGGCTCGGAGTCTTCCTGACCCTCTCTGGCAACTGCGCTTCCCTCCGGCTTCAGGAGGGGAGCTGCAGGGGAGGCAGAGGCAGGGACCTGTTTGCTTTGCCCCGCTGTTTTCCCAGACCAGGCTCCCAATCTGATCTGTATTGATCCAAGCTCCTGAAGGCTCCAGGGCTGGTTTTGTTAGGGACCGGTGTTCTTAGAGGCTGCTTTGTTGGGTGCTGGAGAGCAGCATCATGTCTGCAGGTGTGTTCTGTGTCCACAATGCATTCGCACCCCGACCTAGAAGCACGACCCAAGGGGTGGCATCAGGGGCAAGATCTACCCTGCACTGGGGAGGCTGAGCTGCAAGAGCAGGCGAGATTTGCTTCTGTCTTCCAGTAACACATAAAAATACATCCACGTCTCTTTTCTTCTTCTCCTCCTCCCCTCCAAGTGACTAAATTAAGCCCGTGCAGGGCTGGAAGGCATCCCACAGAGCTGCGCTGCTGAAGGCAGCTCCCGGCTCTGGGTTCTATCAGCCCCCGGCAGCAGTGGGAGCGTGCGGGAGCCCGCGGGGCCGAGCAGCACATTCCTGTGCTCCTGAGGTCATTGCCTGTGCCGCTGCCAGCCCTGCACAGGGCCCGCAGTGCCTCTGGTTTATGGTGTTTTAGTGTCTCACTCCTGAGCCAAAGCCCGGCTGTGTAAAGCATCGGCTTGTTTGGGATGCCAGGGACCAGGCTGACCCTGAGCATCCCAAGGCAGCAGGGTTAGGGCAGGAGGAAGGTGGCAAGGAAGTACCACAGTCACAGCCAGGCCAAGTGCTGCCTGCTCTTCCCCACCAAATGTTTTGCTGCTGGACCCTATTTTGCATCAGCACCATGTCAGGGGGGTTGTGAGCATCCTTTGGGTTTTCCAGCCAGTGGCTGGCTATGCTGGATTGGAAAGCATCTGGGATGAAGGGAAACAGCTTGGGGCTGCCTGCCAGGCATCCATGGATTCTGGGGGCTGTCAGAGGGCAGGGAGGGACCACTGCTGCTTGAGCACCCGTGTTTTAGGAGGGCTTAAGCATGCCCAACACAAGGTGCCTGCTGCAGGGTGTCCTGTGCCCTGCTTTGTTCCTCTTGCTCCAGCCCCTTCTCTCTCTTAGAGACAGCTAAAAGCCCAGCAGCAGAGGGGACCAGCATCCCAGGAGCTCACGGCCGTGAAGACAGAGCACGGTGAGAAGATGTGTGCCTTCTTCCCCCTGCTGTGCTTTCATATTGTGATATTAATGAAGCATTAGGATGGACCACAGGGTGGCCAGGCTGCACTGGGGAGGATGGGGATGGTGGCTGCAGCCTCTACGTGGCACTGGTGCAAGTGGGCAGATACGATGGCATCCCAGAGATGAGGCATCCCATCCTCTCAGCCAGCCAGATTGTCACCTAATGAGCTGTGTCCTCTCTGAACCTGTCAACATCATCCCAATTAGTGCTAGTTTTCACCAGTGAGATGGGGGGCAGGTATTTGTCCAGTGGGAAGAGGACAGGAGCTGAACCCAGGCCAGGACATTGAGGCAGCCCACTTAGCAGGATGCAGCCGGTGCCGTTCCAGCCACATTTGCATTGCAGCCAATGCCACCCTCTTGCCTGAGGATGGGAAGGAGAAGGCAGCAGTGCCAGAGAGTACAAGACTCCTCCAAGGTCAGGAGGAGGATGAGGAGGAGCGGCTGCAGGCTGCCAGATGGGAAGACACCAAGGGAATCACCCAGGATGGTGACATCCAGGTCAGTCAAACGTGGGTGCTGCTGGGGACGGCAGCTGAGCAGGGAGCATGTGGCCAGCCAGGACTTTCCAGGCATCAGTCATGGACCAGGAATGTGTTGGGTTGAGCTCTCCTGTTTTGTGGAGAAGGAAGGGGATAGGAAGGAGTTAGGAGGCCTGGAATGGTGCTGGTCTAGCAATGAGGCACAGGCGGCTGGGAGGGCCACAGCATCCTTCACATCAGGTCATACAGGTGGGGTTTGTCATCTCCCTGCTTCCCAGGTGGAAAAGGGAAAAGACCTGGAGCTGAAGGAGCAGTTTGATGCCTTGAGGAGAGAGCACACGGAGACCCTGCAAGGTGCGTGCTGGGACAGCAGGGCTCACCCCAGTACTGTGGTTCCCCCCCCAGCTCCACAGCTCCTTGGGGCTCCTTGCCCTGGTGTCCCCACACCAGTGACACTTGGTTCATGTTCGCCCTGCAGAGCTCCAGAGAGCACATGAGCAGGAGAAGCTGCTGCTGGCAGAATCCCACCACAGGTCCCAGGCAGCCTTACAGGTACCTGAGGGGAAGTCCCTGGGGAGGGCTTGAGGACTGTCTGCTGGCTCTGCCATGGTGCCCCAAGCTCCTCAGTGGTCACCTTGGTCCTGGGGACCATGCAGACTTCTCCAGCCCTGGGACTATGGGGGTGCCACAGCCCAGCTCTGCTCAGGAAGGAATCACAGATGTCTCCCACCCTGATTCTTCCCTGGCTGCCCTAGGAGACGATCCAGGCACTGAATTCCCAGCTGAAGTCCTTCCAGGACAGGATGAAGCGGGTGGAGGAGTTCCTTATGAGCACAGACTACAAGAAGCACATTGAGGTGCAGAGAGGGCTGGCAGGGAGGGGACCTGCCTCTGGGGTGCTGGTCCAAAGCTTCTTGGATGGACCCTGAGCTGGGGGGGGGTGGCACAGGGCAGCTGAAGTGGGGAGAAAAGCCCCATCCCTGGGAGGTGCGTGGGCTGTTGGGGTCTCTTGAACACAAGTGATGGGTGAAACATGGAGTCATGTGTGTGGGATGAACCATGGCAGATACCCCAGTGCCCACCCTATAGCTGCCCATGCCCTGTGTTCTGTAGGAACACGGGAGCCCCAGCCCCTTCTGGGAGCAGGAGCTGGAGAGCCTGCACTTTGTCATCGAGATGAAGAATGAGCACATCCATGGGCTGGACAAGAAGCTGCTGAACCTGGAGACCGTGGTGGGTTGAAAGGAAGGGGGGGTCACAAGTGGACTTTGCTCTTTCCATCTTCTCTTTCCACCTGAATCCTATCCAGAAGGTGCAGCTAAAGAGGAGGTGGATGGAGCCTGGTTCCTCTCTTTGAGCAGGGAGGGGATGCGGCTGCAATGCCATCACTTTCTGCCTCCCTCCTCATCCTCATGCCCACTTCCAGGCAGAGAAGAACCTTCTGCTGGAGGAGAAGGTGAAGACTCTGCAGCAGGAGAATGAGGACCTGCAAGTTCGCACCCAGAATCACTTGGTCATGGCAAGGTAAGTGCTAGTTCCATGCACCCCGGTGGCACCGGGGACAAGGAATACATCGGGAATACATCAGAGCCCACAGTGCCATTCACAGATGCTGTTTCCCCACAGGCAGCTCTCGGAGGAGCTCCTGGCTGCTCGTGGAGCACTGGAGAAGGAGGCACAGCTACGGGAGCAGGCGCACCGCGAGAAGGAGGAGCTGCTGTACCGCGTGCTCAACGGAGGGGACGGCTCCCCGTTCCCCATCGCTGCCGGCGAGGTGCCCCTCATCGCCACGTAGCACAGTGCCGGGGGTGTCAGGGCTTCCTTCTGGGTGCCAGAGCCCAGGGCTGCTCTCACAAGTGCCCCACTGCCGGGGCAGGCCCCCGGGCTGGCCCCATCCAACCAAGGGCAATGGAGCATTTCACAGGACGCTTGCGCCTGCCTTTCCCCAGCCCATTCGAGGCACCCTGGCAACCCCACTGCACCATCCCTGCACCCCTTCCTCTGGTGGGAGGCTTTCTAGGGGTAAAAGGGGTCAGCCAGCACACACAGATTGGGCTGGATCCAACCCAGCGCTTGCCTCTGAGCATGGTCAGCATCAGTGCTGCTTGGGGGCATGAGGAGGAAGATGAGGCGGTCACTGGGATGGGGATGAGCACAGGGAAGCTGAGGAGAGCACTGGGATATGGTGGTGGTAAGGTACCTCACTCCTGGGAAAGGAGGTGGCCAAGCCCAGATCTGAGCCACAGAATGGGTGCAGCTGGGTACATCTGCCACCTCCAGCACTGCCCCTGCTATAGACCATACTTTCCTCCCCTCCCCATCACCTCCTCCAACTCCAGCAAACAGCTCCCAGGGATCACTCCTCCATCCCAGGCCTTCCCCAACTCACTGCCACACAGACACCAAGCCCTCCTGTCCCCACTACACATCAGCAGCACCACCAGTGCCATCCTTTCCCCCAAAGCTGGGCAGAGGCTGCATGCCCAGAGGTGCACATCTGGGGAGCAGAGCATCCTCCCAAGGAGGAGCAGGCTTCAGCGGGTCACATCCCCCCCTGCTCCAAGCCAGCACATCCCCATTGGGGAAAATGCTGCCAGCAGGGCTGGATGCACACAAGCACTTTCCACTGGGTGCATGAGCACGGTGAGATGGTCACTGCTCTGGGGGCTGCCACTGGCCTGTCCCCTCCCCAGGGCTGCTGAGCCCTGGGGTGTTTGTGTGTGTGGACACGCACCAGGCCAATGTGCCACTGGCTGTAACAATTACAAGTCTGTAAGAAGCAGCAGCCTCAGAATCCCATGTCGGTGGGTTTGGGGATGGTGCAGGAGCAGCTCGCGGCAGGGCTAAGGGGAACGTGGGGAGGGGTGGGAGCAGGCGCCACAAAACCACAACAAGGAAGCCTCTACTGTTGGTCCCCCTTTTCCTGCTCCTTCCCTCATTTCATTCATGTCAATGGGCTCCTGCACAGAGCAGACCCCAACCCTCCCATTCCTGCCAAGCTGGCAGGGCCCAGCAACTGCTGCTTCCGTCCTTTGTGCTGATCCATACCAGGAAAACAGCAGCTGAACAAGGCAGCCAGAAAGGCAGCAGGGATGTGGGGTCTGGCTCTTACCCTAACCATCAACAGTAGGAAATGAGGGTGCCTGCTGTGTCAGAGTCATGTCCCCCCCCAGGGCACCCACTGCCCCCGACACCCCCATGGCTATGGGGATGGATGGCTCCATCTTTGCACAGCATCCTCAGGGATGCAGCAGGTGCTGTAGCATCAAAGCAAGGGAAACACAGCAGCAAACCCAGCCTAGCTGTGATTGAAGGGGGCAGGATCTCTTGGCAAAGGGAGACGAGGCTGGTGGGTCTGGCACCCTGCTCTGGGCACCTGGTACCACGTCCCAGTGCCCCCAAGGCAGATGCTGCGTGGGACCTGGAGGAATGTGCCTGGCTCTGGGAAAGGGGAGTGCTGGGAACTGAGGAGGAGGAATAAATGAGCCCAGAAAGGGACTTGCCCACCATAAGGGAAAAAGCTGACCCTTGGCATTCATGGAGAGACAGGCAGATCAGGGCAGCACTTAGAAGCCTCCTGCTTTGCTGTGAGCAGCTGAGGGGTCAGGGTGTGCAAGGGGCAGAGGGCAACTGGGAGGCTGAAGGGAGAAGTTCCAAAGGCACAAAAAGTCAACCCACAACACAGTAACAGCAGCAAAGGCTTGTTTGCTTTATCCTCTGCAAACCACCTTCAGCGGCGGGCTCGCCACGAGGATTCAGGGTGCCCAGGGACGTTCACCAGGCTCTGCAGGATGCGACCTTGAGCCCAAAGGATCTCTCTTCCCCCCGGGCACAGGGTGGAGGGAGCCGGGCACTCTGGGACCAGCTCTCCCCTCTTATTGCCCTGGAGCAGACGGGCACTGCACAGTCCCGGAGGGCTCCAAGGTCACTTCCCTGGCTGTGCTTCCCATTGCCTCCCAGGGAGCTGCCCCTTCAGGCTGGTGGCTCGCAGCGCTGTGCCAGATCCCATAGCCAAAGTAAATAAGGAAGCCTGGGAATGGGCAGAACAGGGTGGGGAGACTCTCTCTTCCCTCCCCTCCCAAACACAGTGTAATCACCCCTTCCCTTTGGGCCCCATATCAGAGGGCCGAGTGTTCCCACCACCCTTTGATGTCAAAGTTCAGCATCTCCATCCTCCCTCCACCACTGTACATTAGGCAGCATTAGTGCCACTGGCTCTCAAACCAAGGCTTCACCAAAAGAGGCTGCTACCAGCTCTGGGATGTGGAGGGCATCCAGGCTTACCAATGGCCATCCAGAGCAGGTACCACAGCCAGGCACCCACACTGAGCCGGGCCATAAGGATGCTGTTGATGGTGATGCTGAGAAGGGGCAGGAAGGGTAGGCAGGGGACCTGAAGGGACCAAGCACAAGGGAATGGGGTCATGACTTCACCCAGATGGACCAGAGGTTCCAAGGGCAAGTTCAGTTCTTTGCAGCTTTAGGTAGCTGCCAAGAGGTGAGAGGAAGGTGTGAGGCTCAGAGATCTGAGCTGGGACCACAGCCTGTGCTGGAGAGGGATGTTCTGGAGGGTTTGGTTGATGGGACAGGAGGTACTGCAGGACTTCAGGGGGGAGGCAGTAAACACTGGCAAAACCAACCCAGGGTGTCAAGACCAGGTATCCTTTTACTGAGGAGCAGCTCTGATTTGTGCAACAGGCAGTGGACTCAGGGCTGCAGAAGGTGCCCCTTTGGCCTGTGGAACATGATGGGGAAGAACCAGGCACGGTCCCTATGCAAAACCCCAAGACCAATGCAGCACATTGTGGATGTAGTGAGGGTCTGCCTGACCCAAAGCAGAGAGAACACATACCCCACATGCAATGACACCCTTTCCCCAGGGGGCTGTGGCACTTCCCTGCTCTCCATCCCCCAGGTCCCCCTCCCTGGGCACAGTCCCTGAAGCCAGGCTGTGTGCTCACCATGAAGGATGCTCTCTCCGGGCTCTGAGGCTGCCTCCAGATGAGCAGAGCTGCCACCAGGATCCCCAGGAGAGGCAGAGCCAGGGCAGTGATGCACCAGGCACCCCCGGCACAGAGGCACTGCAGCCCCGTGGTGCTCACCCAGCTCACAGCACACACCAGGGTGGCTGCAGAGGGACCACAGCAGTGTGAGGACAACGCTTCCCCATGCTGATCCCATCCCTCACCCATGCTGCCGTGGTGGGACGGACAAAGGACAACCAGGGGACGGGGCTGGGAGCTCTGCCATGGTGGGTTTAGCTTTTCCCTCCAGGAGAGAGTAGGTTTACAAAGGTCCCATTGGGGCAGCAGTTGTGCTGCAGTCAGGAGAGGGCAGGAGGGAGCCAGGCAGATCCTGCTGCGGGATGGTTTACAGCAAGCAGCAATGCCCTGTGGTTATCTCGTGCTGCCTCCCCATAAACCCCATCCGCCTCTCCTGGGCATACCTATGGCTGTCAGAGCCCAGGCCACTGCAGAGGAGGAACAGGGGGTGGGATGCGAGGGTGGATGGACAAGATGGTCCCACCAGAGCTGCACAGCCAGGAGCTTCCCTGCAGGAGTGCCCTTAGTGCTGGATCCAGGCCGATATCTGAGGAGCAATGTTGGATGTCCCAGGTATAGCCAACATCAGAGGCTGGGTGAGCCCTGTCCCCAGCACTCACCTGAGCAGCAGTACACAGCCAGCCACCAGAGAGTAAGCCAGCAGTGTGCCGATGGACATCATGTCAACCAGGGCTTTCAGGTCAAAGAGGAGGGCCAGGAGCGCTGAGGGAATGCAAAGCCCTTTTCAGCCTCCCAGCAGGGCTGTCAGCACTGCTGCTCTGCCCATCTCATCTGTGCCCTCTGCCCTCCCATATCCCCCAACACCCGCTGCAACTCAAGCACCTCGATGAGCTGGTGATGCTTTGGTCACTGGTGCAAAGCATCCTGCCACCTCCTGCATGGTAGCTCAGAGAGGCTGAATCCAAGGCCAAATAACCTCACCCACAGTGAGGAGAGCTCTCTCTGTGTATAGAGATATTGCTCCAACAGCTACCAGCAAGCTCGGGGGAGCCTGTGTTGTCCTGCTGGAAGAGAACATCCACCAAGCCCTGCTCATGGGTAAGGGGTAACGCAATCACTCACCTGCCACTGCTCCAGACACCAGCGTTGCCACCACTGGGCACTGATGGCGACTCACTTTGGCCAGAGGTTTGAAGAGGAGCCCATCTTGAGCCATCACATACAGGATCCATGGCATGGGGAACATGGAGCCCAAGAGACTGCAGAGAAGAGAGGAGAAGAGGGCAGGAATCTAGGAGATGCCATCCTGCCTTTTGTTCCTTCTTGTGTGGAAAGGGAGCCCCGGTTCATCTGTGTGGCCATGACCTTCTCAAGAACACGCTGACAAATCCATAACCTGCCTCCCCATCACTTGAGGAGCAGTATCAGGGCAGTGATGCCCACAGGTCATGGGGAGCCCTGTGCCCACCAAGACACACCAGCCTGCTCCTGCAGCCACAATGCCACCAAACACCTAACCACTTCCTTTGGGGCTAAAAGCAGCATGGCAAGGGGTATATTGGTGGTGAGGAGGGACCAGAATGAGAGCAGTGGGACTTGTGAGGAAGGGCTGAGGGATTTTGGCCAAGCAGGGCAGTGCGAAGGGACTGGGAATAGCTTCTGGATGTGTTACAGCTCCAGTGAACCTTGCCCTGAGGCACAGAGCTGCCATCAGAGGACTCCCCTCACCTGGTTGTCAGGGCACACAGTGACCCCACAGCCACAGCATGCTTTGCACTGCTCCAACCAATGTACTCAAAAGCCACTGGGAGCAGGCTCATGGTGTCCAGGAGGTAGTAGGGCATCATCAGGGTGAGGGCAGCGGACACCCCAAAGTACGCCAGGAAGCAGATGAGGAGGGAGAGGATGATGCCCATGGGGATGGATCTCTGCGGGTTCCTCACTTCTTCCCCTGGGGGAGGACAAACTCAGCTGTAAAAACAGATTCTCATTCAATGTGCATGGCATGCTAAGAGCCAGCTCAGGCTGGAGAGCATATCCTGTATCCCCCCAGGAAAGAAGGGACACAGGCCTTCTCTCAAGGACATAGAGCTCCTGGGCTCCAGGATTATGGGGACATGCTTTGGGATTAGCCCAGTCATGCCACATGGACTCTTATAGATCCTCCTTTGAGCACAGAGGACAGGAAAGAGCAACAGAGCCAGGAATGTGCCCATTCCTATCCCTACACTAGCTTCTGCAGGGAGAATCACTGCCATGGACCCCAGCCTGCAGGGCAGGGTCCCACCAGCACCTCTCCCCACCTCACTTACCTGTGGTAGCGATGCAGTCAAACCCAACAAAGGCATAGAAACAGGCAGAGGCTCCAGCCAGGGTCCCACTGAAACCATAGGGCATGAAGCCTCCCACCCCAAAGGCACTGGTCGTGTTGTCAGCCACAGACTGGTTCCTGGGAGGAGGAAGAGGCAGGCAGTGCAGAGGGGTCAGTGCAATGAGAGGACCAGGCAGAACAGCCCATTCAACCCGCTCACTCCTCCAGCATCAACCCAGCAGGATGTTGGTTCTTTGACTCATTGCCAACAGGGCAAGGAAAAATGGGATTTCCTGGGATAAAGCATTAGGGGGATGACCCGTCCATCCCCACCACCCTCTGTAAGCAGCACAGGGAGAGCAGATCTCATACCCAACTGCCCATGGCAGGTCCTCCTCCCTGAGCTTCCAGTTGCTCAGGTCACCTTTGATGAAGCCACTCAGTGTGACAAAGACCAGGACAAGCACGTTGAGAGCTGTGAAGACTTTGTTGACTGTGGTGGACTCCTTCACTCCGAAGGAAGGAAGCCCTGGGGACAAAAAGAGCAAAAGTGGCTGAGCATCCTGGATGACACCAAGCCCAGGGTAGACACTACTGGAGAGGGTGGAAAGAGGGGAACAGTGATAGAGTCAGGAGGATCTACAGATTTCCCCAGATCCCCCTTGTATTCCCCATTCTTTGCTCAGGGAAATAGCAAAGCCTCAGAGGGATCAGCACCATCCTGAACATGGGGCGAGGAGCTCATCCTGCATGATGGAGGATGGCACAGGGGGCTGCACCCTACCTGCCAGCAGCACCACCAGGCCAGCAGCAAAGGCATCCGGGTGCTCTGCCAGCCCCACAGAGCTCATGGCTGCATGAGCACCCAAAAACCTCCCCATCTTCTTGCCGAGGAGCTGGTCAAAGGTAGCACTCCAGGCCCAGGCAACACTGGCAGTACCTGGGGAGAGATGATGGCTCCATGGGGTCTGGGAAGGACAGCCAGCAAAGGTAGGGGGATCAAAGGGGCCTCATGCCAATGACATAGGACAGCAGCAGGTTCCACCCAGTGATGAATGCCCACAGCTCACCCACTGTCACGTAGCTGTACAGATAGGCAGAGCCAGCCAGGGGCACACGGGCCCCAAACTCAGCATAGCATACCCCTGCCATAGCAGACACCACGGCTGCGATCAGGAAAGAGAGACGATGCTGGGGCCGGAGCTGGTTTTAGCCAGGATGTAGACACCAGCCCCCAGCGTGCTGCCTACTCCCAAAGCGAGAAGGTCCATGGTGGAGAGGCAGCAGCGAAGGCTGGAGTGCTCTGAGGCAGCCGGGATCTGCTTCCTGCAGGAAAGCATCCTCAGAACAGAGAGCAGCCAACCCCAGCACGGCACCTGCGGGACAGGAGAGCAGCAGGCGTGAGGAGGATGCTGCCCCAGTATAAGATTCAAACCACGAACATTTTCCTTGCAGCTCCCACCATTCACACAGTGATTTCCAGACTCCCTGGCTGCTGCCTGTTTTCTGTCTGACAGAAAATGAGCCCATTTTGGAGCAAGACTGGGCTAAAGTGGCTCTGTTACTCTTATCACAATAAGAAGTGGATAAATGCATTATTAGGGTTCACTAGGCTCTGATTTGTGCTATGGTGCAAAGGGACAAGGACACCTCCCTGTCCCCTGCCAGCTCAACAAGTCCTATTGCTCCAGCAGCATCCCTAAGCAGGAACACAGCCAGCATTGTCCCAGTTTTAACACTAACACTATTTGAAATGCAGAAACAGGGCCAGAGAAGGAGGGGTGGAAGATGAGCTGCTCTTGAAGCAGCTGTTGGCCTTGATGTGCAGCAGGAAAGACCCATCTGCTCAGCTGAAGATGCTCCCACAGCACCAATAACTGTGTCAATGGCACAGCTCAGACAGGGACTGGTCTCCCTGGGCCATCAGCCTGTACAGCAATGCTGTGGCTTACTTGTCACTGACGGAGACGTCAGCCCAGCAGAAACCCAGTCATGCAGTATTAGTGCATCAGACAAGTGATGTGTTGGTACAGCACACCTGGGATCTGCGTGCTCAACCTTCCCCAGGAGCTCCCAGCACTGCAGAAAGGGGGCTGCACGCCTCTGCATCCACACAGTGCTGCCGGGACCTCCAGTTACCCTGCAGCAAGGCAAATTCTGTGCTGCAAATCCTGTAATCTGCTACCTCCATGGCCAGGGACCCCCTGGAAACCAGCACATCCCAGCAGCACTGGAGATCATAGGGCTGTGCAGTCTGTGCTGTGAGCCTGGGGAGGGACATGGACCACTCTGGGGCAGTACCCAGCACCCTGACCCATAGGATGGGATGCTGTAAGCCCTTGTAGCACAGGGAATCCCAACCTACAGGACAACTGCTGTGTCTCCAGGGACTGAAGAGCTGCTGCCCAGGGACAGGCCAACTGAGGCTGCCTTCCCACCCCTGCAGCACCCACTCCCCACCACCAGCCCCACCCAGGGTATCTCACCCTGATGATTTCCCCTTATTCTGCAAAGAAACTACTTACTCCAGCCATCCTTATGGCAAACAGCTCCCACTGTGAGGTGATGGTGAGCACCAGGCAGCCCCAGTCACACTCCCTTTAAATCCCTTATGGGAGAGCCCTGGCCCTCCCCTCACTGACCACCACTCGAGGCTGCACAATGGGGAATCTATGCAGAAATATGTTTCCCACAACGCCTTCCAAACCATCCCCACGAGCCTGCAATGCTAATGGGCTCAGGGGCATCACTGAGGGTTTTAACTGATATGGCAAAGCTGCCTCTGCAGGTGGAAGGGAGAACCACCTCCCTCTGCCCCCATTCTCTCATCTCAATCTGTGGAGCAGGTTTTAGACACAATCGAAGCAGAGAGGAGCAAAAGCATAGCCAGGATGCAGGGGTGCATGCACCTGCAGCTGTACCCAGGCATAGAGGGAACATAGGAAGAGATGAGCAGGTCCACGAACTGACTGCAGCAAGGCAGAGGAGCACAGACCCTGCACTTCCCCACTATTTGGACACTAACACCCAGATTCTGCTCACCCCCTGTCACAGCCCCATTGCAGCATTAGATAAAGAAGCCCTCAATCACCCAAACGCAGCTCACAGCAGAGCAGGCAGCACCACCACCCATCACTGACCCACCCAGACTTGTCCTAGGAACAGGACTGCAGCTCTTAGCCCAAGCATCTGCTCCATCTAAGCATCCAAATTCCACAGCTCCTGTCTTAGGAATAGAAATGACTGCAATGGAAGCAGCAAAACCTGGATGCTCTTCCACAGATACCAGAAACACTCCTAACCCAGGACCTCCTCCCTAAGGGGCAGCATGCAGAGGCTGAGCAGTAAAACGGAAGTACACATAGGGGTGGGTCCAGGGCTGGGCTTAAATAGAGGCCCAGGACTGATTGGGTAGGGGCTTCAGGTGAGGCTGATCAGGGCCAATAAGGAATATAAGAGCCCTCAGACACCAGCAGAACCTTTCTATAGTGTTGCTCCTAGCAATGAGAGGATATATGGGATGCGATGGTGTAGTCTGGCTGTGACTTAGGAGAAGAGAACTAAGGCTGGGCTCTAAGGAGAGGCTGGAAGCTGGTGCTTTGGGTAGGATCAAACTTGGATTTTATTGTATGTAGCACTGAGGCTGAGTATTTGGGGACAGAACAGTCTTAGGTTGTGATGTAGTTCAGCACATTCTCTAGCCCTCAGCTCTCAATGAGCAAGAGCAGAGGAAGAGGACATCAGCTGTGCAGGATCAGAGCAGAGGTGGCTCTAGAGCACCTAAAGCATAGTGGATGCTTTAACTACTAGGTTGCCCTATCTTGGCTGTATGGGGCAGCCCCATATCCCCAGTGAACCCTGTGAGTGTGTTAGCACCTCTGGGATAGGGTGCTCAGCCCACCATGACACAGCAGGGGCACCAGGAGGAGAGCAGGGCTGTTGCCCTGCATTGCAGTGCAGGGTGAACAAAGCTGTGCTTGTCACCCACGCTCTCTCATGTGAGAGAGGTCTCCAGACACCAACGCCAGCCCAAGGGAACAACAGGGCACGGAGGAGCAGTGGTGCAAGCTGGCATTGAGCATGTCACATCCAGCCTGGGGTCCCTGCTGCCCAGGACAGGCAGGGCTGAGCAGCTCGGCTGCCTTGCAGCCCCAGAGAGATGTTCTAGTCAGAAGATATCAGCAGGGTTTGGATGCCTGAAATATGTCAGCAACCTTCAAATTCCCAAGGGCGTCCTTGGTTTTATCTGCTCCTGCTGGCACCAGCCAGGGCACAGACACTGCTGCCCATTGTTCCAGGGTCAGTTCCACTACCTCTTCCAGCCTTGCTGCAGCTTCTGTGCTGGCTGGGGTAAAGGATGGTGATAAAGAAGGAGCCGGTTTAACGTGGGTGAGGCAGGGATGGAAATGGCCTGAGGGCATGGCAGGCAGCGGTACAGCCTGCCAGGAGCATCTCAGAGAGACTCACCCTGCATCCCCACCCGTGCCTGTGCTGCAACTTCTCATCCCTGTGTCTGCAGCACAGAAGGAAGGCTGGGGGGAATGGAGGACAGCAACTGCCCCTCTTCAGCTCAGCTTCTGCCCCATGGAGAGCCCTGATCAGCACAGGTCCCTGGGGGGGCAACATCCTTCCGTCTGGCTTTTGCAGAGGGAGGCAGGGATGGACCTTCTCCAACCATAACCAGGGAAAGGGGTGATCTGGTGCGAGTGGAGGCGTCTGCAGACAGGAGCACCCCATGAGTACCCTGCACCCCAAGAAACCAGGGTGAGGGGGGGACGGAAGGGATGACACCTCCGCAGCTGAAGCGCAATCACCGCCATCCCCTTGCACTGCGTCCCCACCACGGGCACAGAGCCCCTGCCCGCACCTGTGGGGCTGTTGTGCCCAGTGACCCCCTCGGCACGCAGAAGGTGACACCGGGGTCCCCCCGCACTGTGGGCACCCAGCCCCGCGGGGCGGAACGGGGCGGGGGGGGCTGAGCGCGGCCCTCACCGCGGTGCCGCGGCAGGCGGGGACTGGAGGGCTCGTGAGCAGTGACGCGCGGTCCGGAGGAAGCCGCCGCTCGCCAAGGACGGAGCGCAGGGGAGCACGGAGCGGACACGCGGTCCCGCAGGAGCACCCGGACAGGCCCCGGTGCCGCTTGTGAGTGTGCGGGACGGGGGGGGGGAGAGCGGTCCCGTGCTAAGCTACCGTGGTGGTGTGCGACGGGAACGGAGCCCTGGCCCCGGGCGTGGAGCCGCGCAAGGGGAGGCTGCGGGGCGGGTCTTTGTTTTCTTTATCTTTATGCGAAAATCCGTTGTTTTTAACCAAATCTCGGGGCTGCGGTGCCGCAGGGTGGGGTTTGGGGGGGTGCTGGTGTTGGTGCGGGGACATGGGTGTGTCCTGGCCGGGATGTGGCTTTGTCTGTGCCCCGGTGCGGCAGGAACACCCGTCCTTCAGTGCGGGGGTCGGGGCTGGGCTCGGGGGAGAGGATGCCCCTGGTTTGGTACCCACCGGGATGCCCGTGGTTTGGTACCCACTGAGTTTTGCACCCCAGGGGCACGGAGTTCTTGGTACTTCGTGGCAGGGAGGTGGGGCAGGGGACTTGGGGATCTCCCCTGCCTCACAGGGAGGATGGATGCTGCTTTTTTAACCCAGGGAAGGTCTCTTCCCGGCCCATGGGCAGCACAGCGGGGCACTGGGTGTGTCGTGGCCTCCACCACAAGCAGTTACACTGGGAGAGCCCTGCCAGGGCTGCAGAAATAGCTGCTGGGCTCCTGGGCTGAAACTCTGAACCCAAAGCCATGGGGGAGCTATGGAGAGGCTGTTGGGGTGCACACTGCTCGTGGGACAGAGGCTTCTTGGTAAGGGTGGGTTGTTCTGCAAAGGGGATGGGCTGTGCACATCATTTAGAGCTTCTCGTGGTACACTCGTGCTTTAAACTTCTCCATCATTTGGGTAGGGGGGGCAGGTATCCCCCTATGATGGGGCTCTGCAGCCTCCAGGCATCCCCATGGATGTGTCTGGGCATCCCTCTCGAATCGGGTGCTGGCAAAGCAAGAGGGGGGCTGCTCCCCACCCGCTGCAGTGGGGACAGGGCCAGGCTGGGGCTGGGTGTGGCAGGTGATCCTCCACCATTGCTGAGATGAGTTGTGCAGTCTCAGCCCCACTGCCGCATGCATGGAGGGCCACGGGCTGTGCCTTGCAGGGCTCTCTCTGCTCCATGGAAGGTACCCAGGCACCTGAGTGGCATTAAAGCCTATATGGGCCAGGGGCTGGGATCCCTGCCCGGCCGCAGTGCAGCCCCGCTGCGCATGGGGCACGCGGGGGGCTCTCCCTCAGCCAGGGGGATTAGCCAAGACTCACAGCCTGAAAAGGGAAAGGGGGTGAAGGCAGCTCTGGTTCTCTGCAACACTTCCTCCCCTCTGAAGGATGCTTACGGGTGTCAAAAGACTTCCTGCACCCGAGCAGGGTGACCCGGCCGCAGTGATGGCTGCAGGGCTGGGTCTCCCCCACCATGGGTGCTCTCATAGGGATGGAGAGCCAAGCCATGGAAGTTCAGATCATTTCCCCTACTTGCTGCATGGAATGGAGCATTCCTGGGGGCAGAAACGGGCAGAAATCCCCCCTGGGGCGGCCCTGATGTGCCTTGAGCTTCCCTGCAACGTGTCTTAGAGCCGAGCACTAGCAAGGAGGGGCAGTGCCTCATGGCTGGAGCTCAGCTGACGCTCAGTGGTTCATTCATGGCCGGGCTCCATTTTCCAGCTGCTTCTCTCCCTCCATCGGCTTTCTCAGAGCAACTGCACTGTCTGGGGACCTTGGGAGGGTGAGGAGAGCCCAGGCCACAGGAGGGTTGCAGCTATAAATGGTGCTGGTGTTTGTTAGAAAACAACCTGCGAGTTACTCTGGAAACACAGCTGTTTCCTGAGCTGTGCCGGGTGCGTGGGGTTTGATGCTGGCCTTGATTCAGTGCACAGGAACTCAGATTAAAGCTGGTGGCAACTTGCAGGGGCTGCCCAGCACTGAGCATCCTGAGCACTGAGGAAGCTGGGCTAGTCCCAGGGCTTGGGGGGGGGGGGGGGGCTGCAGAGGGAGCATTACGGGGTGCAGTGAGGAGGGTCAGCCCTGCAGAGGATGCTCTGCCCATTTCCACCTATTCAGCACTTTCTTCCCCTCCTGGGTTCTCTCTGCACTGGCAGGAAGCAGCACGGGGCCCGTCTCTGCTGCTCCTGGTCTATGGTGTCCCCAGCTCAGTGCCAGGTACCAAAGGACCTGGTGACAGCATCCCCAAGCCTCCCCAGCAGCACCCATCCATCACCTTCCCCATGGGTAGCACACCCACAGTGATGGATGGCAGCAGCACCCAAGGGAAGGAGCAAAGCCTCCCTTAACTAACACAGCCCATGGAGAGGGGGCTTTGGCTCATGTTGGCTTCTCTGTTCCATCCCGCAGCTCCTCCTTGCCCTCACTCCAGTGATTTCCAGCTTGGGAAGCCATGGCGCCTAAAGGAAAGGTAAGGGTGATGCACACATGGTGGGGATGGGTGATTAGGTGTCACAAGGCAGACCCCAGAGCTGGGGCAGCATCTCCATCATGCAGCAGGGCTGACTGAGACGTGCTTGGAGCACAATGCTGCTCAGAGCCTGTTTACATTCCTGCCTCTCCAACCAGTGCTGTCTGGATGCGATGCAGATGGGGAAGTGCTGGCGGGGAGAGCAGGGACAGCAAGGAGCAAAAATCCTTTTGGGACCACAGTGGGATGGGGGAGAGAAGCAGGACTGTGGGAAGTGGAGGACAGACACTGCACTGGGGATTTGGGATTTCACTGGAGAGAGATCCCACCCGAGCCTGCTGCGAGGCATGCAGCCCTGCCTTGGCCTCTCCTGCTCGGTCTGGATTTCTCCCCCTCAACAAGCCTGATGCAGCGTGGCAGCCGGGTGAGCAGGTGATTCCCCCCAGCCAGGAAAACATCTTGGATTGAGTGGAAAACCCTGCCTCGGTGGGCAGCTGCGGCTGATGGGGCGCAGCCTGCCTGCGGGTAGTGTGCTAGGCAGGGGAGGAGCCCATGTGCACAGCCTGCTTTCACTGCTGGAGCCAGGCTCTGGTTTCCATTCCCTCGGGAGATCAAGGAATGATTGCCTCGAGCCCCATTACCCGCTGCTTCCTGCCCAGCTGAAGGGTTGGTTGGCTCTGGATGGGGAAACTGAAGCCCAGTGTGGGTGAGCATCGCCCCTGTGGGGGTCCAGGACCCCCAGCAGCCATGCGGTGGGACAGCGCGCAGCCACGCTGGGAATTCTGCTTCCACCCTCCCGGCCCCAGCCTGGCTTATTTTTAGCTGGGAGGTCCCGGGCAGGCCGGGATGACT